ATCTTTGTAATAAATTGCAGATGATTTCAGGATAGACATTTCAGTTTCTCATTCTCCTAATCATCAGCTTGCTGCACTTCCAGTCATCAACTTTGAGATTTTTTTAATTTTGAAAGCCTGCATAAAAATCACCAGCATTTGTGTGCATGTCTAATATATATAGCGAAGAATATCATGCATTGTTATACACCATTTTCATTAATATTTGCCTTTATATACACTCTTTCACCTACCATGCACATTTTTTCACTGGAAAACTGTGTCACAAAATTTGGTGACCTTCACATTTTGAAGGATAGCTGTGTTTTGGTTCACACGTTGTTGTTTCAGGGATTGCAGATTACCAGGCCAAATTCCTCCCCCTTTCCTAAATACGTGTGAAAGGGACACAGGCCAGAAATCGACTGATTCATCTGCACCTCCTCTCTGCATGGGAGCAGGCAGAGCACAGTTAGCATTTAGCTTCATAGAATCTACATGTCAAGATGTGCCCAGCTCAAGTGAAGAATCAGAGTCTGTGTTGGTTGCTGTGCTGGAGGCTCCCAGCCCAGCAGCTACAAGATGGTGTGTGTTTTATGTTAAATTAGTTCCGTTGAGTTCCGCAGCCGTGATGTGCCCTCAAACCACAGGTGTTCCTAAATCAATGAGTCCATGACAATTATAAATTGCTTTTCATAAGCAGTAAGCAAACAGAACCACAAGAAAGCCTGGCAAAAAAAATGGCTTCAGTGAAGCGATACTTCGGCTCCACAGCGTTCTGCTGCCCCAGCTCTTTCCAAAGTGCTTACTTTCTTATTTCAAGGAAAGCCTCTTTGTTTCCATTTTCTGGTTCTGTGTGACTTGCTGATTCGGAGACTGCAGGAGGAAAGTTTCTTCTCTAGGAGCTGACTTTCCCCTCCCCATCCCCCTTGGAAAAGTTGACAGCGTGCTACAAACTGCAGCATCTGAGAAATGTGTGAAGGAACCGATTCAGGAGCCGTGGTTCAGCTGCTCCTATATTCTCAGTATGTGTGCAGCAGATATCAGGCTGAGATTTTCCATGTGGATTACCAACAAGGAGCAGGGGGCCAAATGCCAGCTTCTTTAAGAAACTGGGGGGTTAAGGTTCAGTCCCAATGTGATGCTGTGCCACAAGTGTCTTGCTTAGATCAGGAAGTGAGGCAAATCAAGAAGTCTTCTTAAGGGGATCTGGGGCTTGAACTGAGGAAGTTGCCATTGCAACTTGCCAAAAGTTTATTAGTTAGACCAGTAAACTTGGGCAGTCAGGAGGCCGTCAAGTGATGGGAAAACGTTTGATACAAAATAAAATCACATGTCACCCTTGCACATAGCTGTCAACTTTTCCCTTTTTTTAAGGGACATTCCCTTATTCCGAATAGGATTCCTCACAAGAAAAGGGAAAAGTTGACAGCTATGGCCTTGCAATGATGAGGTTAAGTTCAACGCCATACCCCAGTGGAAACTGTAAAGTGTTCTGTGAATGAGATGGTACCTCTTCCAAGCACGAAGAAGAGAAGGGTTTGGATTTGATATCCCGCTTTATCACTCCCCTTCAGGAGTCTCAAAGTGGCTAACAATCTCCTTTCCCTTGTTCCCCCACAACAAACACTCTGTGAGGTGAGTGAGGCTGAGAGACTTCAGAGAAGTGTGACTGGCCCAAGGTCACCCAGCAGCTGCATGTGGAGGAGCGGGGAAGCGAACCCGGTTCCTCAGATTACAAGTCCACCACTCTTAACCACTGAGGAGCTGTGCAGCTAACCATTGCTGAGACCATAATGGAGGCACACTTTCGCTTTCTAGAAGTGGCCAGTTGCCAGGCAACAGCTCCCACGGAAGCCCTCTGGGGTGTGAGAGTTGGCCCAGCCCATGATGGAAGCAAGTCTTCCCCATTGCCAAGATTGAAGGAAACTTCTTGGCTTCCTTCTTATGATAAACCCACTTTTCCAATACTCAGTTGTAAAGAATTATTTTTGTCTTTAATTTCCTTTCTACTCTGGAGATAAAGAATGGATGTTCATCAGAGTTAATGCCAATCTTTTGATTGTTGCTCCCTTGGCTGTTATAACCATGTGAGTCATATGAAATGGTGAAGAGATTTATTCTCTGAAATGGGAGCCAGGAACATTTGCTTAAGTTGACTTTGATAATGTGGAGCTGGTATTTAGGGTCATCATTCTTGGTGATCTCTTTTTAATATAGAAACATTTATCATATATATTTAAAAATCCATCTTACTTGGTATTTATATTACATGTTTGGGCAAGATGGGTGGTTTTGTATAAAAGAAACTATTTTATGCAATGGTACAAAAATTATTGTAATAGAGGGTCCCAGGGTTTGATCATAAGGCACATGAGACCACCATCTTGCTGAAGGTAAGCATAGCCATATCTGCACTATAAATTTAAAGCAGTATCACACCATTTTAAAACAGTTGTGGCTTCCTCCAAAGAATCCTGGGAACTATATTTTAAGGGTGCTGAGAATTGTCAGGAGATCCCCACTCCTCTCACTGAGCTACAGTTCCCAGAGCGCTTTAACAATCAATCCCTCTTTCCCAGGGAACTCTGAGAAGTCAGACAAATTCCTTTCTAAAGAAGCCCCACCCCCAAGTAACTTCATTAAGCCCAGAGTGGTTATTGGCTGCTAGACCTATCAAATATCCATATGATTGGCCTATCATGACAAACCCTGAACTCTGAATACAGCCCATAGGCTGAGCAGTGAAGCTAAGCTACAATGATCTTTTGGCACCCCCTCAGTAGAGATAGTCAGTTGATTTACAGCCTGTTTAACTAGTGGTAATGGCATCAATTTGCAGATGCGTTTTGGTTAATAAACAAAAACACCCCGAGTATAATTGGGCTGAAGGGAGTTCTCTGAAAAAAGCAATTAAAAGGACAGAGCAACAGTAATAATGTGCCTGATGGATGCCTATGGGGAACAATGCAGCATTCCATAAATCTATGGATGATGAAAACATCTAGGGGGAGGAAAAGGAGGGATTCTAGAGGGTTTTGAGCTTGGACTCGGATATAATTAGTAGAATGAATGTGTGCCAATTAACAGGGAATTTAACTGAAATTTCTAGAGTTAAGCTGAAATTTCTCGGAGGTTTTTTTTTGTGTGTGTGTTTTTGGAGGGGGGGTATATTGAGGTTTTTCTTTTTCTTCCCAGAAAGGGATGCTTGCAGAATTTTCTGCAAATATTCTCCATTTTTGGCATGGCAGCCCCCGTTTTCACCACCCACCCACAATGCCCCAGAATGGTGCTAGGGCCAGGGCACTGTTGAAAGTGCAGAATGCTGGCCAGACGGTCACACAGTGACTGATATTGCTCTTACTGGAGACGGCAGCAGCAAAGAACTTCTCTTAGGTAAAGTACAAACTGTGTTCCTGTTCCTGCAAGTCCCACCCTAAGGAACTATGGGTGAATTTCTTCTCCCACTGAATAAATTTGGCAGAACACACACAAACACAGTCCACCAAATTTCTGTGCCTGCAAATAGGGTGGGGCCCATTTGCACACAGATCTAGAAACTTCACTAGCAGAGTGATGGGTGCAGCAAGCGAGCCAGAAACCCAAGACACAACTTGGCCAGAGGTGCAAAGAAATGAACCCTAGACCATAGTGCATTTACACTTACTGAAATCATGTCTATTATGTGATGTTTGGCTTCTGATCTGCAGTAATTAGGAATGTTTCCAAGGTGATATATTTGAAGCCAGAGAGAAGTGAGAAGTCTCGCTATGAGGAGACGGCCAGGCAGAGTGAAAACCCTTTGAATCTTCTCACAATGCCTGCTGCTTGGAGCCTCCTACAGAAAGACACACTTCCTTGGGAGGAAGCCCATTTCTGAGTAAGCATATTTTGGAGAGTGCTGTAAAGGGGGCAAAGAACCAGAGCTGGAATGCAAAGCATAAGGTTTCAGATTTCCAAAAAACAGCCAGATATAGTCTGGGAGTTGGGGAAGCTCCCCATAGAGGATATGTTACACTGCCAGACTCTCAACCCAGGACTGGCCGTCCAACTCTTTCAACTGAATAGTCTGAATCAATCTGATCAGATCCGACCCGAGGGATTGTGTCCAGTTCTAGGCACCAATGTTTATGAACGATATCGACAAGCTAGAACATGTGCAGAGGAGGAGGGTGGCCAAGATTATCAAGGGTCTGGAAAGCAAGCCCTATGAGGAACATGTGAGAGAGAGTTGGGTATATTTAGCTTGGAGAAGACTGAGGGGTGATATGGTAGCCATCTTCAAGTATCTAAAGAGCTGTCATAGAATCACAGAATTGCCAAGCTGGAAGGAACCAAAAGGACCATCCAGTACAACCTCTGCAATGCAGGAATAGCAGCTAAAGAATCCCGGACAGTTGGCCATCCAATCTGTTTGAAAACCTCCAAAGGAGAGTCCACCGCCTTCCAGTGTACTTCATTATTATATGAATTATATTATATTTATTAAATTTCTATACCACCCTTTATCCAAGGATCTCAGGGTGGTTTACAATATAAAAACACAAAAAAGCATAGCAGAGTAACAAACAAAAACAATAACCTTTACACACACACACACACACACACACACACACACACACTTTAAAAGACCATAGTTGTTTAATTTAGTCAAAGGTAGTCCATTCTACTATTGAACAATTCTTACCATCAGAAAGTTCCCAGAGTGGTTTAACAGTCAATCCTGCTTCATGAGGAACTCTAACAAATTGTAGCCTTGTGAGGGGAATAGGAGTCTCCTAACAAATCTCAGCACCCTTAACAAACTACAGTCCCCAGAATTCTTTGCAGAAACCATGACTGGTGTGTTGCAAAGTCCCCCATGTGTTTAGAGGTGGAGAGAAGTCAGGACCTGCAGCCATACACCCTCCCCTGACACCCACACATTTGGTGCATGCAATAAGGGGTCCTACACAGCAGCAGTCAAAAGTTTGGACCTCTGCTTAGGGGAAAGACCACAGTGGAGACAATACTGAACAAGAGGGATCAACGGGAGACAAAGGGGTAGAGGGTCTGCTTTGCATTCAGAAGGTCCCAGGTTCAATCCCTGGCATCTCCAAGTAATGTCACTTCCCTGAACCCTGGAGAGTTGCTGCCAGTCAGTGTGGGCAATATTGAACTAGATGAACCAATGATCAGTTCAAGGCAGCGCCCTATGTTCCTATCGATGGAACAAATAAATAAGCTCACCAGTTGGTTTTGCCCTGTCCAGCCAATTGCTTCCAAAGCACAAATTGTTTGCACATTATCCCACCCTACCTCCAAAAGTGCAAATCTTAAAATAAGTACAAGGTCTCATTGCTTGAGCGCCCACAGCAGCAAACGGCTTTTGTCACTGGTGATTTGTCAAGTAAAGGTGAAGTGCACATAATGCTAATGGCTGTCAGAAGGATTCTAATTAACTCACCGGGTAACCTTGGGCAAAACATACACTTTCTCAGTCTACCCTAACTACCTGGCTTGGCCTTAGCTACCGGTCTGTTCCAGAACCACAGACCTCTTGGTCCCCACCTTGCTTGTTCCATCACCTGCCTTGTGTAGCAGACATCATAATGGTTAAGGACAGTAAGAAAGTCTGAGGCATAGCAGACTAACCTAGGTCAGGAGTCGCCAGCAGACTGCCTGTGGGCAACCACCAGTCCCTCTTAAAGTGCCTGCAAAAGGTATCAGTAAATATCCAGATCCACAATGCATGAAATAGGGGGAAATGCCCACACCGTTCTGTCTTTTTTAGATGTAGCAGTCATCGTGCGCTATGCCACACACCCTGCAGCTTCCATTTTATGGCTGGCGCTCACATTTTCCCAAACTATCAAATGCGTACCTGATAGCTTAAAAAGTTGGCAGCTACTAAGTCAACTACTCGGGAGCAGTCTGAGACGTTTCGCACCTGAGGCAAAGTGCTCCATGATGTACGGGACAAACTCTGTAAGGGCTTCTCAATGAGTCTTCCCCACTGGGCAGGGGGGAGGGGCAGGAGAGATCTTTTCCATACTGCCCCTTCTGCAGTCCCACTTAGAATATGTACAAATCACACATATACACCGATGAAGCAGCCAGTTAATGAGGTGGGGGAACTGGAGGCAGCAGTTTTCAGCTCCAGTCGTACAACAGTTTCTGCTCACAGTACATCCCAATTTTAAAGTCTACACTGTTGACCCCCTCTCTGCCAGTTACCTCGTACTTCCCGCATGGTGCTGCTATTGCATTCTTTTTATATTGCACGCATGACATGAAATACGGCTGCTCCCCACCCCCACCCACATGAAGCACTATCCAGATCACCTTAGCAGAGCTGGGAAAGGGGGGAGGGTTGCTGAGTTTTTGAACCGTACATTAATTCACACTGCAGGTGCCCATCAACGCCACCAAACAGACGATTTCCCTCCTCCTGGCCCTTACAAATCTTTAAATACATCAACAGGGGGAGAAAGCTCTCCGCTCTCCCCATGCAATGCCATAAACTCAGCGTGCAGTCATCAAAACTCATTAAAGAGTCACCTTTGGAGAAAGGTGGGGGGAGGGGGGAGCGATACCTATTAACAGCAAGAGCAATGTTCTGCTTGTGGTTTTTGTTCACAGATAACCATCCAGCCCTCGGGTCCTTATTCGGGTCAATTTCATGGTCAACCCAATGAAGGCCTTCTATTATCTTCACAGCATGGTGCCCCATCAAGTTGACAACATCTAGAAAGATTTCCCATGCTGAAGGAGGAGTTGAGCTGAATTAAAGGCAGCGGCAGTGTGTGTGTGTGTGTGTGTGTGTGTGAGAGAGAGAGAGAGAGAGAGAGAGAGAGAGAGAGAGAGATGGATGGATGCATGCCCAGGGCCTGTAGTGTGGTGCAGTGGTTAGGACGGGGGAGACCAGGGTGCAAATTCCTGTTCAGCCATGAAACTCACAAAGTGGCTTAGGGCCAATCACTGTCCCTCGCAAGGTTGTTGTGAGGATAAACTGGGGAGGGGAAAGAACCAAACATACCACGTTGGGCTCCTTGGAAGAAAGATGTAATATAAAATGTAGCAAATACACTCCAGAGCCTGACATTTGGGAAGGGACCAAAGACTGGGAAAGGATCTGAAGCTCCACAAAAGCCTCTATGCTGATTTTGCTGTGCACCCAAGAAAAACGGAGGTAGCAGGATATGATTTGAGGGTTGCGTACCTTACCTCTTGATGCTTAAGGGAAACAACCGAAGTGAAACAGTCCTGTTTGAGGACCCCCAACATTGTGGCGCCAACACTATCCTTTTTTACCTTATCTCCCATCCAAACACCAGTTTCATCCATGATGGAACTCAAAACAGCGTGTGCAGGAGTCCTATGTGATCTCCCATCCAAGAGCTGACCAGACTTAGATCTGCTCAGCTCTGGCAGACTTGTCATATCATGTTCCTTCAAACCATGGAGCCCAGAGCTTCCTGCTGAAACAAGGAGAGCGGGTGCTCTCAAATATTGGAAATCAAAATATTGTGAATTCAAATATGGAATTCCAGAATATAGAATTCAAGATTTTGGCCAATTCTACCTTTTATTTTGCTTTGCCATCTAGTTTCTTGTCCTTTTACTATAAAGCTAAACTTGAAAACGCTTATATTCACAAAAGATCACTGATGAAGCAGCTGGCACATTTGCACAGCTAAGCAGAGTTTGGTATGGTTTCAAACTGGATGGGGGACCACGTCTTGAGATTCCTGCATTGAAGAGGGTTGGACTAGATGATGCACAGGGTCCCTTCCAACTATGATTCCAAGATGGTCAGGTGAACTCATCTGGGCTTTCACTAGTGAAAGAGTGGTGCTTTTCTCCCTCTTTTTGCAATACTTGAACTTTTTTTGGAGGGGGTGTAGCTGGTTATACTCATGGATGAACAGCAAGAAAATGGCCCTATCAAAAATGGCAGTACTGTGTATTTAACCCCTTTCTGTCCTGTGTTTCAGAGGGAGCCAATGAAATGGATCAGTGGTCCAGAAGGCCATGATGTCAAGATAAGGCTGACCTGCTAGATCAGGGGTGGGAAACCTGTGGCCAAGTTGACTAGGGGCTGTTGGGAGTTGGAGTCCAACAGCTTCAGGAAGATTAGAGGCTGCCAACTCCTGTATTATACATTACAGTAGGCAGTGGAGGCTTGTCTGTTAGGGCAAATAGGGCACTGTCCCTGCAACTTCAGTCTGCCCTCAGCCAACCTTCTTTCTTACAAGGGGTCTAGAGGGTGGATCTGCCCGTCATTTGTTTATATCGCCACCTACTGTTGGTCTCCCTGCCTTTCGCCCTATAAGTCCTAAGGAGGACCAGCCACCACTGATAGCAGCGCAGCTGGATTCATTTCATGCAACATCTAATTTTCCCCTCAACCCAACCTATCTCAGGGGCATTGTCGGGATCAAATGGGATCATGTTCCCGGTGTATGGTGTCATGAGTGCCTTGCACCAAGGGCAGGCTAAAAATAATACTCTCGGGCCCAAGCTGTCCCCCTTTCCACAGTCCCCACTCCCTACCAGTGCCCTCAACCTAAGAAAGTGTTGCTTTCTTGGAGGACAGCAGTATTGCAAGAGGAATGCCTGTGCCTCAAATCTTTGCATGCAAGAAAATATAATACCAGAAATAAATCTGCCAGATGTTCTCTCCCATTTATTTTTATTCTTGCTACATGGGGAGACATTAAAGTTGTCATAAATAAAAGTTACAAGCAATTGTGGAGGAGATGGGAAGAGGTTTGTCAAATTCATTAGCACTTTTAGAGGGGTCTCCCCCCTCCTCCCTTCCCAAATTCAAACAATAGGATGTTGACACAATATTTTTTAACTACCCTGAGTATGAAATGCAAACTTTAGTATGAAATGTTCAGTGGTTCATGAGCACATATGAAAGTCCTCTTGGATCAAAGTCTACCTAGGCAGCATTTACCTGGGTTTATTCTATTTCCTTAAATCTTATATTCCATATTATTCCACTAATGGAATACAGTGCATGTTTAGTGCTCATTTCTGTGTTATTTCATTACAGGGGGGAAAACCAGTTTGCATCCCCCTTAATCCAAGAAATTGTGGGAGTAAAGTGATTAAATCTGAGGAGGTATAACAGCATACAGTTCTTTACTGTCAAATTTAGCACAACATACCAGTATATTAGTCAAAAAGCCACCGTTATATATACAACAGGTACTGCAGTGTGAAAGGGACATTATAAAGCTAGCACTTCTGTTCCATTTTATAATCAGGAAAACTAAGGCAATATTCCCCACATGTGACTTCACCATAAAATGAAACCGTGGGGTGCAGGTTCCCTACCTGTGCTCTTGAGCACAAATTGTTCTCTTGCCCTCTACTGATTGATTACCCCACCTACGGGATACAGTTACGTAACGCCAATTAATGCTGATCGGATTTAAAAAGCAATAGCCTCTTACACACCTTGAAAAGCTGACTACTTAACATTTATCTGGCCATAAATTGGGGGGGGGGGGAGGGAGGCTGTATTGTCAACTGTTTCAATCCACCCTACCAGTCAGCGACATTTCAGATAACACAAGGTTGACTCGTGTGCCAGATAATGATATTGCTGTTCGGCAATGTTAAGGAAGAGCTATAAACTACTCCACAGCCAATATCTACTGGGCAAAGTCAGGGGACTGGTCCTTGGCAGAAGCTGAAGACAGTCTGGGAAAGAGAAGACCTTGCAGGGTGAAGCCAGCAGGGTGGGGGGGTGTTTGTTTGTTTGTTTTAAAGGAGCTGTCCTATTCAGACCTATCATATGCCTGATAGCAGCTGGCAGCATTTCCTTGGCCCCAATTGAGGCCCTTACCAATGCCTGCCCTGGACAGTCTAAGAGCCACATTATCTCATGGGCAACCTTGCAAGGGCCAGAGACAAAAATGGATGGAGTAATTGATGAGACCTTTAGACAAGGAGTGGGAGAACTTCATGCCCTCTCTCTCTTGCCCACATAACTCTCCCCAGCCATACCCCTCACTGGTCCTCCTCATTTCCCTCAATAGTTTCCAATTGGCCAGAACATGTGTCCTTAGACTCTGATATTGCCTCTTACTTGTCTGCATCAGCCTTTTCCAATCTCGGGCCCTCAGCTGTTGTTAGACTACAACTCCCATTATCCCCGACCACTGGGCCTGCTGGCTAGTGATGATGGAAGTTGGGGACCCAAGGCTGGATGAGATGGAGGATAGAGAAGGGTGTGAGAGTGTGCATGTAGAAACTAGTCGACTGTAATATTTGCATTCATTCCTCCTTCCCCCAATTTTTGCCTCTGGCCCTGCCCACCACTGGCATGTGGCCATCAAAAGATCGCCAGAAGAGAATGCAGCACTCTGACCAAAAAAGATTCCCCACACCTGCTGGATACAATAGGCTACATTCCAGTCACACAAAAGTCAGATTTCTACATCCACACATACCCATCTCAGAAGCCTTTATTCAGGCAAGCAAGAGGCATTGTCATGGTTAACAATACAAGGAAGGGGCAGAGCAGGACCAGTGAGGAGTGTGGCCTGGAGAAAGTCCCAAGGGCCAGATAGAGGCCCAGAGGGTTGCATTTCACTCCTGAGCCTGAGGTAAGAATCCACCTCACTTGGAACAAGCACCAGAGTCTGGGAGCTGCCATCTCATGGTGCCTCAGAATGAGGCTTCATCAGAGGCACTGTGAGAAATTGCAGCTGTGGTTGCCTGCTGCTCCTGCCACCGCCAGATAAACCTGCTTAGGGGACCACTCCTGTTAGGCCAGTTTGATCAAGCTTGGAGCTCATCCTGTGGGACGTATATAAGGCCAGTGCAAACGGAGAATTCTTACATGCTGCTTACAGTCTTCTTGGATGTTTCATGTAAAATGCGAGCAGTGATAATATTGAGTTGCTGACTCCTTTGCCAGTCTTGGGAGGGGGCAGCATGTGCCCAGCCATATAATTGTGGAGTTGGAAGGGACCACAAGGATCATCTAGGCCCGTGCAATGCAGGAATCTTGCCCACAGCCATCCCTGCATGCGCTCAAACCACCCACCTGCTGGTAAAGAGCAAAACGCACTAACGCATTGTGCCACAGAGCCTTACTGTATAAGGGAGGTGGCCCCCAGTGTAGCCAGTGAGTTGTGCAGGAGCCAGACAGGTGGGTGGGTACCTACAACCACCAATGGCATTGCTGTCTGACGTCAGCAGCAGGATCTGACCCCTGTAACAAATCAGGCACGTTCCTAAGGCCACAAAGGCAAGACTCAAGACTGGAATCTTAGAGACCAGCTGGTTGGGGGTCCACCATACAAAATCCACAATGATGACCAGATTAGCCTGTAAGAAGGCATTCAGTAAAAGGCAGCTAATAGAAATGTTTGGAAGAAAGACATTGTTGACCTGAGGCTGAAGTGGGTAACAGGACCTGCTGACCTGGTGGGGTGGAGACACTTACCAAACCTCCCAGCAGCTGAGTCACTACTACTTACCAGCTTACCAGCAGGGAGAGGGGCAAGGTTGCAGGGAGAACACCATTATGGGGGTGGGGGGACAGGAGTATTGGATTGGGTCTATTGGTGTCTTTACGTACCCTCCAACATTTCTCCAATGAAAATAGAGGTGTCCCATCCCATAATGATAATTTTACTATTTATACTCCACACATCTTATTGGGTTCCCCCAGCCACTCTGGGCGGCCCCCAACAAAATATCAAAACACAGTAATGCATCAAACATTAAAAGCTTCCCTAAACAAGGTTGCCTTCAGATGTCTTCTAAAATTCTGGTAGTTGTTCTCTTTGACATCTGGTGGGAGGGTGTTCCACAGGGCGGGTGCTACTACCCATAAGGCCCTCTGCCTGGTTCCCTGTAACTTGGCTTCTCACAGTGAGAGAACCGCCAAAAGGCCCTCGGTGCTGGACCTCAGTCTCCAGGTAGAACGATGGGCGTGGAGATGCTCCTTCAGATATACTGGACCGAGGCCGTTTAGGGCTTTAAATAAAACATTAAACATTTTAAAAATCCATTTCCTATACAGTATTGCCATCAGGTGGCTCGGTGGTTGGATAACTCCATAACCTCCAACATTTCTCCAATGAAAATAGGGACATCCTAAGGAAAAGTGGGACATTCCAGGATCATATCAGAAACCGGGACGGCTTCTCTAAATCAGGGACGTCCCTAGAAAATAGGGAAACTTGGAGGGTGTCTTTTTACACCATGCTGGTCTCTTCCCCACCACTGTCATAAGCCGCAGAAATTCACCTGCCAATATGTCAGGAAAGCATCCCCACCCCCCCCACCCCCCACCCCCGGTGGGTAACCTGAACTCCCCTTTCCCTGGTAGAATGCTTACTTCTGGCACAGAGGTGGTTTCATTTTGCCTGGGGCTGTTTGCATCCCTGGGAGTGTGGAGTGCTCTTTGAATATCCTGGTACCACTCCCACCACTATAATCCCAACCAGAAACATCAAGCACGGAGCAGACATTGAACAGGCATTATTAGCCTAGAGATGAAGGCACATGCTAGCAACTTCAATTTTTAAGCAATATCATTAAAGCCAGAGCAGTGAATAAAACATGACGCAGTAATGATGATCATTGTGCGTGTCAACTCTGCAGAGGAGGTAATAATTGCTGGGGGGGTGGGAAGCTAGACCCACTTCCCCCCCTCCCTGATTTCTTAGGCTCATTAAGAAATGAGCTAATGCTACAAAGGGAATTTCCTCCAATGGGTGTGCTTTGTTTTCAGTTAAGAGTCCTCCCCGTACAGGAATTTCACAGCACAGACTATTTAACAGGGCCAATTCAATGCAGTGCCAATGACTTCATGTATTGCTTTCAATGGAGTTTGGTAAAGATTATCATTATTATTATTAAATTTGTATTCTGCCCTTCATCTGTAGATCTCAGAGTGGTTGCAACCATGTGCAGAATGAAAGTCTGATAAGACTGCTGGCTGGAAGGATAAAAGTTTATTACTTGTGGCCAACAATAGCTCTGTTGGTAGAGCATGAGACTCAGTCTCAGGGTTGTGGGTTCGAGTCTCACTTTGAGCAAAAGATTCCTGCATTGCAGAGGGTTGGACCAGGTGATCCTTGTGGTCCCTTCCAACTCTACAATTCAATGATTCTATGAAGTCATTTTGTGCATAGGTTTTACAAATGGCCAAGAGGAAAGTTAACACTAGCATATGCCAGCTCATACCAATGTGATACCAAACTTGGAGAAGATGCAGGAAAGAAGTAAAATATGAAAGTAAGTGCCAACCAGCAGTTGCTAAAAGGGAAGGAGTCAGTGAAGAGGAATAATAATGTTGTTGTTGTTGTTGTTGTTGTTGTTGTTGTTGTTGTTAATACCCCGCCCATCTGTCTGGGCTTCCCCAGCCACTCTAGGCGGCTTCCAACCAAATATTAAAAATTAGTAATGCATCAAACATTAAAAGCTTCCCTAAACAGGGCTGCCTTCAGATGTCTTCTAAAAGTTTGGTAGTTGTTGTTCTCTTTGACAGCTGGTGGGAGGGCGTTCCACAGGGCGGGCGCCACTACTGACAAGGCCTTTTGCCTGGTTCCCTGTAACTTGGCTTCTCACAGTGAGGGAACCGCCAGAAGGCCCTCAGTGCTGAACCTCATTGTCCAGGTAGAACAATGGGGGTGGAGACGCTCCTTCAGATATACTTCCTGTCTATCACCCCCCCCAACACACACTGGTTCAGGTAACTTTTTGCAAGCACCATTGCTTTACTCCTGACAGCTTTAAGTGCCCAAGGAAAGTCCCAGAACAATTTACAGGGACAGCAGGGTACAAATTATATAGTAAAAAAAACACCATTAAAATAAAACATCTTTAAAATTTGTTCATCCACAAAAATTACTCGGTAACAAAGTAACCACACACGCCCCACCCAAGAATGATCACCAACAATCAGGGATGTGGAACTTCAGACCCAGGCGAAAGTTGTATTCCCACAGGGGAGTTATATACCAACAACTTATAGATTGTACTGCATTGGCTACTTCTAGCCTAGAGGTTTATCATCCAAGGTGACTGGTAAACATATATAATTAAAGGCCAAGGTCTACCCTGCCCCAAAATTTCACGACTCACAAAACACATCCCCCAAATTAAGGTGTAGGTGAGAGGAGACATTATTGCAACCCCGGACTTCCAGTAATATTCATCCCTGCACATGAGCCCCCAATAACTAAAACAGAAGAGACTATTGAACATTTCTCTATTTCTTCCACTTACTCAGTTCCCCCATCTGTTAACAACACACGCCCTCTAGCCTACACACTCCAGAGATACTGGTTCTTATGAGCAGTCAAAGTGGAGGGGGGCATATTTGAAACAATGCAATCTGGAGGTGATCGGGTCACATCCTGAGCATGTAACCTTGGGAAAGAAAAAGATTCCTCCAATTTGCCAGACTCACATAAACGGTAATTTAAACCTAGTATTTATCGCCTACTTCACCTAAAATCTCCAAAGGCGTGATTTATTGAACATTAGCACGAGCTCGGATTCAATAAATTTCACTTTTTACATCATTAGCATTAAAAGAAAAAGAGGCCATTTGTGCAAGCCAGTCAGAAATCTTCACCGAAGAGGGACTTTATAGTCCAAAATCAGCTAAAGTGTACTCAGAATTACATTATCTGCATCTTAATGATTAGAAGTTTCATCCTGGTAGTAAATTAATAAAGATAATAATAAAAGGCTCTGACAATAGTTATATAAAAGTGAACAGGAGGGAGAGGGTCAAGAGCAGGGAAGACTGGAATAGCAAACACTCATCCGTATCAGGTTGGGACAATTCAAGCTTCTGTGCTCCAGCACAACACCCAACAACTGGGATTCAGGATAAAAGTGAGAAACTCGCTCCCATAGGAAGCAGTGAGGACCACCAATTCGAATGGCTTTAAAAGAGCATTGGTTAAATTAATGGAGGATATGGCTTTCAATGGCTACTAACCTTTAGGGTTATTCCGTTTCCAAGGTTGGAGGGAGTCAGGCTTTTGAATACCAGTTGGTGCAGGAGGAGGAATACATTGTGCTTGGGTTCTGCTTGAGGGCATCTGGCTGGCTGCTGTGAGAACAGGATACTGGACTACATGGGCCATTGGCCTGATCCAGCAAGCTCTTCTTATGCTCAAGTGAGTGCATCCAGCTGTCATAACTCCAGAGGCTCCGATAACCCATTGCAGAAACTATAAACCTGAATGAAGTGCCCACCAATAAGAGGAGTGCTGTAGATGCAACACAGCACAAACAAACCAAGGTCAAATGTAAAGAGAGAAGCAGTCTAGGTCCAAACATGATCCAGAGGCAAAGGCAGGCAAGAGTCCATGGTCAAAATCAAAGGGCTATGCACCAAGAAGCCAGGGATTTGTTTTAGTTCCAAAAAGCAGAAGGTTCTAGAGGGAGGCCTTATATACTCTGGCCTCCTAAACACCCTGATCACAGCTGCTGGCTCTTAAGGAGTATCAGGGATTGCCCTTTCACCTGGATCTGAAGTTTTTGGTGGCAGCACACCTGAAAAGTGTCTTCCTCCAGGGCTTCTTCATTAAGTACCAACCCAAAGATCAAGGGTATCTCAGCATTCTATTTGGGGGGCCACGCCTACTCCTTAAGATTTTTTTACTTGTGGGATGTCCAGTTCATCCTCTGAGGACTCTGTCTGGTACCAGGTTGGGGCTAGGTATTGCCTGCACTGACTGGCAGCAGCCACCCAAGATTTAAGGCTAATGTCACTCCCAGCCTTTCCTGGAGATGTTGCAGATTGAACCTAGGCCCCTTTGGCAAGGACACCAGTGGGCTATGGCCCTTCTTCAAAAGCTTAGAGCCCAGCACAAAATCTGTGTCTTCAGCTAAAGCAAGGGTTGGGAAGCTTTATTGCCTGAGGGGTACAATCCCCTCTGGGCAACCTTCCACAGGTCACAGGCAGATCCAGAAGCAAAAGTGAGCAGAACAATTAAAGTTGATTTTGCCTTTGTACATACAGCGGACTAGTTTCTATGTGCAATCATGCACGGCCCTCTCTATGTCATGGTCTGGTTCACGGGCGATCGCAGTCCCGGCTGGGGGAGTCGGGACTGGGGGCAAGATGGTGGGGTGGGAGCAGGAACGGGAGTCCAGAAGCCAGGAGTCAGGAAGCCAAGAGTCCAAGGGTCAGAGATCCGGGAGTCAAGGGTCCAAGGGTCAGGAAGCAAGGAGTCACAAAGTCGAGGATCAAGAAGCAAGGAGTCCAAGAGCCAAACTCAGCAAGACAGGGAACGTGTTGCTGTGGCAAAGAGCCAAAGGGAAATGCTGACCTTATATCCCTTCCCAGCTCTTGCCACCAGGTGCTGTGAGTTACCAATCGGCCTCACCTGTGCGGCCGCACCTTGCCTCTTCAGAACAAACTTAGGAAGGCTCCAGTCCTGCAAAGTCCTACTGGTCACAGGGCCTGGCTCCTGCACGCACTCCTGACACTCTTATCCTACATCCAGGGAAGAAAGAGGACCAGCTGTTGTTCAAGAATGCATCCCAGCCAAGCAGGAACACCTGAGGTATAAAACAAGGCCAAAGAAGGGTGAGAGTTCCAAGGGCCAGAAAAGGAGGCCTTGAGGGCCACATTTAGCCTTCAGGCCTGAGGTTTCCCTCCCCCAACCTAAAGTATAAAACTTTAGCTTATGGGGGGATTAACCTTGCCTTTTCCTTCTCTAGGAACCAGCGCACACACACACACACACACGTGCAGAGGACTGGCAAAGAGGTTGTCTGTTGGCTATCACATACCCCTCAACCATCCAAATTTAAGCAGGACATTCTGGAATTAGAGAAGCCATCCCGGCTTCTGATTGGATGTCCCATTATTTTGTTCCATCGCTCTGGCATGAGTCACCTGGCTCACACCGGAGCGTCAGACCAATATAAGAGCAAGTCACCTGGCTCCCACAAGAGCTTGGGACCAAAATATGAGCCTCCCAGTTTTGATCAGCAGGATGTTAGAGGGGATGCTATCATTTTGCTAGTCAGACATGCTCATACCCATTTACTTTCGCAGCAGGGCTCTCCTTATGTTCTTTTGAGGTTGAGTATTGGGGAGAGTTGGTGTCATGAGCCCTGTGGAAATGTCACGAAGGGTATGAATTCTGAGGAGGAGGGTAAGATAGACGTAGAATCATAAAGTCAGAAGGAACTAAGTCCAACCCTTTGCAATGCAGGAATATGCAGCTATCCCTTACAGGGATCGAATCTGCAACCTTAATGTTATCAGCACCACACTCTAAACAACTTGGAACTAGATTGCCTGGGGGAGAGCCCAAACAGGATCAGGGAGGTAAATGGAGACCTCAAGAAATGTCAGAGCTGTAAAGTGTGAGTATAATTATCTGAAAACGAAACACCAGTGGAAGGGATGAAGTCACAAGCTTGGCAGAGCAAAGAGTATACTATATATAAAAAAATTAAAAATATCCAGTAGCACCTTAGAGACCAACTAAGTTTGTTCTTGGTATGAGCATGCACACAAAAGCTCATACCAAGAACAAACTCAGGTGGTCTCTAAGGTGCTACTGAATATATATATATATATATATATATATATATATATATATATATTTCTACTGCGTCAGATCAAGACAGCTATCTACCTGAACAAAGAGTATAATGTTTGTTAATGTAATGTTTGAAATATTGTGTCATAAAAGAAAATAATAAAAATTATATATATTAAAAAAATGTCAGAGCTGGTGGAGGGGGCCAATGATTGAGAGTGTCAAAAGCTGGTTCCTGGGGAAAGTTCAAGCAGGGCGTCCCACTTCTGTGGTATCAGACATTTCTAGGGCACCTCCTAAAGGGTTCATCCTATCACTCCTCCTATCACAGAAGGCAGCTGAGATAAAGCAGGCTACAAAACTGACACTTCCATTGCCAGGCACGCAATGATCTTGCTGCCCTTTGTTGCTGTAGAGCAGGGGTGGCAATGAGTAATGTCCCTCCCCACCGCCCCAGTGTTACTGGACTACAACCCCCATCATCCTTTCCCACTGGCTCTGCTGGCAGGGGCTGGCGAGAGTTGTTATCCAGCAGCACCTGGGGGCCCCAGGTATTCTCCACCCCCTGCAGTAGAGGATGTTGTCTCATCCACAGTGTTGGAGACTCAACTGGCAACCTTCTTGGGTTTGGAATGGGAGAGGGCAGCCCTGGCAGAAGAGCCCTCTTTCAACAATGCTGAGTGAGAATGTGCTTGGAATAATAGCAATCTTCTGGATTGGATTTGAAGGCTAAGCAGATATCCTTTATCTCTGTGATAATGAGAAGATCAAAGTCTGGCTCTTTATCAAACCGAGAGCTGAGGATCAACAACCGACACAAATTTGCTGGGTCAAACTTCACATCTCCAATGAACTGAGATAAGAACATGCAAAGATCCCGCAGGATCAGGCCGATAGCCCATCTAGTTCAGCATTCCCACAGTGGACAACCAGGCGCCTATAGCAGGACCTGAGCTTGCAGGTTCCTATAGATGGGGAACCTCAGGTTAGGGAGCCATAGGTGGCCCTCCAAGCTTCTCTATCTGGGCCCCTGGGACTCTCCTCATGTCACACCCCTCACCAGCCTTGCCTCGCACCCTGAGTGAAGGATTCAGAGGGCTGCATAAGCACACATAAAAACTAGCCTACTCTATAACTGCTTTGAGGTTTTATTATAGGCAAGTGATATATATAAATGTTGCGAAGTTAAAAAAAAACATGAATACAGATGTCAAGGAAATAAACAACTATCTGACTTTTAGAAGACATCCTATAAAGGGAAGTTTTTAATGTTTGATGTTTTACTGTGTTTGAAGTTTTAATTTGCTGGAAGCCACCCAGAATGGCCAGTCAGATGGGCAGTATATGAATAAGCAGGAAACATATTATTATTATTATTATTATTATTATTATTATTATTATTATTAGGTTTGCATCCATTGCTCTGCCCACTTTTCCCTCTGATCCTGCCCACGACTGGCATGTGGCCCCTGGAAGGTTGCCCAGAAGGGAATGTGGCCCTCAAGCTGGGAAATATCCTTCTCCCCTCTTTCTGCACAAGACCATCAAGTCCAAAAACTAATTGAAGCAGTCTTGTTCAGAAGCTTCTTCCAATGTCTCAGGCTGAGTTACATCTTTCTTTCCTTCCCGCCCCCCCCCCACATCGTCAAATTAGACCCAGAACCCTGTTTTAAGATTTACAAGTCTAATATTTAAAGAGAGAAGGGAATTGTGGCAGGTGGGGTGGGGGAGCTGGCTTGTCCTCAGAAGGAATCAATCACATTTATGAAATCTGGGAATGAGCGGCAATTTGGCAAAACAGCATTAAAATCAACAAGAGTGTGTGTGACAAGGGAGCTTTTGGAATAGGAAGGACCTGGTGGTGGCAGTTAGTGTTCTATTGCAAGATGCAAACCTTGGCAGGGGAGAAAGGGTTTCTAAAGACTTATTATACATACTTTTATTATTATTATTATTGGTGCCATGTCTGTAATATTTGTTTGTCCCCTGGTGCCACAGTAGGTGATATAAAAAGAGGGATGAATAATTTATAAAAAGAGCTCCATAGCCATCAAAGAATATCGCTTTGATGATGTAGTGTGCACATGAAGGCCTTGGATAATGGATTAGAGTCAAAAACATTAAAGGGATGCTTTTGGTGAAGAAGGTGGAGGGCTGCTCATGTGCTCTAAAGGTCCTTTTCCACATCTAGGAATTTCAGTAGGCTTTAAGCAGCGGCAAAGGCTGGTTCCCCTCATCCCTGTGACAACTGGAGAAAGCATCTCCAAGAAATCTTCAAAAGCTTGTTTCAGTTCTTTGCAAAGAAAGGGGGTTCGGGGTGGGGGTGGAGGAACAGATCAAAGGCAGCGTGTTGTTTTTGCTGTCTGGATGTGTGGCTGTTGGCACCAGTCATCTTAAGCAGGAGGTACAAAACGTTTTGCAAAGTTAATAGCTGATGTGATCTTCCAGGAGCCAGCTCAAAGGGATTTGGGGATAGTGTTGGGATGGAGAACCACAGCCCTAGGTGGGGTCAAATGCAGCCCCCCAGGCCTCTTCATCTGACCCTCGGAGCTCTCCCCAGACCACGCCCTTCACCAGCCTCCCAACCCCTGGGGTGTTTTTACCTGGCTGACCTGTGTCCCTAAACTCAGATGATGCTTCTTGCATGCCTGGATGGAGGATAGAGAGGGGTGTGGGAGCATGTGTAGAAACAAGCCTAGAAGTGGGTGCTCTACTAGCTTCCTAGCAGGTTGCTTGCTGGATATGAGAGGAGGAGGATGAAGGTAAGTTCAGCGTGGTGCAAACACACTAGCAGGAGCACTGACTTGGCTCTGCTGATGTTTTGGTGCTGTGCTGGCTTCTCTGCCACTTTGACCCTCTGCTTTCCAGTAAGCCTGACGCGGAACTGGTGTAGTGGCTATGGCCCACCCAGCAACCTGCTTCTGAACAAACTTACAGTACAAAGGTAAAATTTGCACTTATTGCCCTGCACACTTTGACTTTTGACCCTACTCTTCATAGGAGATGGCACACAGAAGCTTGCCTAGGAGGCTGTTGTTGTTGCTGTTACTATTATTATTATTATTATTATTATTATTACTATTATTATTATACTCATCCCATCTGGCTGGGTTGTGTAGTTCTTTCTCTCCTTGACATCTGATAGGAGAGCGTTCCACAGGGAGGGTGCCACTGCCAAGAAGGCCCTCTGCCTGGTAACTTCACTTCTTGCAGTGAGGGAACCGCCAGAAGGTCCTCGGACCTCAGTGTCCAAGCTGAACGAAGGGGGTGGAGACTCTCCTTCAGGTATGCAACACTCAGGCTGAAACGGTTCCCACAACTGGGATAGCAAGAAGAGGAGTCTCTGCCTTTTCTGGGTGTTCTGGTCTCTTTCAAACTCAGTGGGGGGAAAGGATGCTGGCACAGCAGTGCCTACACTGTTTGAAACAGCTCTCCAGGATTTCAGAGTCTTTTCCAGCTTTACCTAGAGATGCCAGAGAGTGAACCTGACACTCAGATGCTCCACTACTGAGCTATGTTACTCTTCATTCCTTCCCAGAGGCATACTTGCAAATTCAACAACAAAACTTTGAGTTGGCCTCAGACTCCCCAATCCAGCTTGGAAGTTCTCTCTGGCCCACGTTCACCTCCCCACTCCCTCTGAATTCAGCTGGGCACGCACTGAATACAGAGGTAGCTCTCCTCCTCCCCTGGAACAGGGGTGGCATAACAAAGAGTGACAGGTTAAATGCCTTGATCTATGCAAAATGCAATCGGGATGGACAGGCCCATCTCTATTGATGTCAGGCTTATTGTCATGGATAGAGATGGGGCAGGGAGAAGTCTCTGTCTGCCTACTATACCTTTCCGGAGGGGACAAAAGTGTGACCCTTTCATTAATGATTAACCATGAGGAAGGCTATTTCGAAACAGATCGATAATCTCTGAAAAGTGACACTTTTGCCTCTGGAAAATCCAGGCACCATCAAAGTAAAGTTAAAGCTGCATTTGTTTCCCTTCACTAAGTAAATTAGCAGGCTCCTTGAAGAGAACCTTGAGAGAGAGAACAGGCTGTATTTTAAGTTTAATTAAGGTCAGTTTCAACATCCCAGTGATGACCATTTGGGCATTGCTGGTGCAGCCCTGAGTTCGGAGGGGCAGGTTACATCTCAGCCCCTAATGAGGAAAGGAGGAATCCTTGGTGGGCCACTTAGGACAGTTTGCAAAACACTTTACTGTAGAAGCTGCTTTCATATGAATATATGACCATCGAAAGAGCCTGTCTCATCCAGCATTCTGTTAAACTAATATTTTATTTTTTATTTTATATCTCTCTGTGTGTGTTTTATTGGTTTTCAACAGTAACACCATAAACATAACATAAAAACAAAGACAACTCATGGAGTACATGTTATTGGATTGTCAGTTACAAAACATAACAGTAAGGAACATGCATAATAGGTTCACTGATTAATTAGTCCTCTCCATAGAGATACATGTGTTATGGGGGCCGCAATAACTGTGCTGACTTATTGATGTGATCAATTGATAAAGACCACAAAAATTTATTATTTGTAACATGTATATCCCACCTTTCCTCCAAATACTTCAAGGCAGTGCACATGGTTCTTTTTTTTTTAAAAAAAGAATATTTATTCCAATTTTAAAGTTACAAAAAAAGTATAGAAAAAAAACAAACCACATACATCTTACAAAAAACAGACAGTAAAAAAGAAATAAAAAAGACAAAAAATCACAGTAGAAAATAACAAAAATCAAATTAGACCATTACAACCATTTTCCCTTTTACTTGTTTCCATGACTTCCTCTCACCTCCTGCTTTGTATTCTAGTTTAAATCGTATCTCCAGCAAATCCTTCTAACCTTCTTTTCTTTTTACATATTTTAACAATCCAAATTATTTAATACTCCTCTATCCTCATTTTACACTTCATATTTACTTATTCCATTATACCCTGTCTGCCAATACGGTCTGGTATTCTTCTCCAACCTTTTCTAACATTCTTTTATATTACAGTGTTTCTGAAGATATATTTTAAATTTTTTCCAGTCTTCTTCCATCAACCCTTCTTCCTGATCTCGAATTCTGCCGGTCATCTCAGCCAGTTCTATATAGTCCATCACTTTCCTCTGCCATTCTTCTCGGGTAGGCAATTCTTGTGTCTTCCAGTATTTCCCAATAAGTATTCTTGCTGCTGCTGTCGCATACATAAAAAAATTCCTGTCTTCCCTTTGCACCAATTGGCCGACCATGCCCAAGAGGAAAGCCTCTGGTTTCTTCACAAAAGTGTATTTCAGTACCTTTTTTAATTCATTATATATCATTTCCCAGAAGGCCTTGATCTTTGGGCACGTCCACCAAAGGTGGAAAAAGGTTCCTTCATTTTCTTTGCATTTCCAACATTTATTATCGGGCAAATGATAGATTTTGGCTAGCTTGACTGGGGTTAAGTACCACCTATAAATCATTTTCATTATATTTTCTCTTAATACATTGCAAGCCGTAAACTTCATACCTGTGGTCCATAACCGTTCCCAGTCAGCAAACATAATATTATGCCCAACATCTTGTGCCCATTTAATCATAGCAGACTTAACCATTTCATCCTGTGTATTCCATTTCAACAGCAGATTATACATTCTTGACAGATTTTTTAGTTTTAGGTTCTAACAATTCCGTTTCCAGTTTAGATTTTTCCTCCTGGAAGTGCACATGGTTCTTCCTCATCCTGCTTCCATTTTATTCTCACAACAACCCAGGAAGGTAGGTTAGGCTGAGAGACAGTAGCTGGTCACTGAGAGACCTTCATGATTGTGTGATGGTTTGAAGCCTGCTGGTCAAAGCCCTAATTCAACACCCCTAGCCACTATGCTACACTGACTCATGAGGTGCCTCTGGGAAGTTCACAAGCAGGACATGAGTGCAACACCCCTCTCTCCCTTTTTGCACCCCAGAAACTGATATTCAAAGACATTCTGCCTCTGATCCTGGAGTTTATATATAGTCTTCATGACCAGTAGACCTTCATGGCTCAGTAGGAAGTTAGAACCTAGTCTCCCTGGTCCTAGTCCAACCACAATCCCAAACTGAACCTCCTTTTGCTAGCCAAAAGCTAGACTACAGTAAGATGTTGTCTTTGTGGTTGTCCTTGATGCCTGACTTCAATTCCACATTGAGAGCAGGATTTAGCAATGCATCATTGGATTTGCTTCTCCTGTTTTGATGGGTAGGCTTCTCAGCAGCTGATATTCACATAGCACAATGTTAATTGTATTCATGCAATGAACATCACATCTTATTGGGCATTTAGTCAACCCTTCTTTATGGGTTGGAAAGGCAGGGTTATGCTATACGATAAGTCATTTGATTAGCCCCTAATATTTTCACTGTGATCAGCAGACGGCAAGCTAATGTAAAATGCTCGTGCCTTCTTGGTACATATAGCCAAGCAAAACATTACACAGATTACAAAGGATGGTATGTATTCACTTTTGGCAACCCATACCAAATGCATCTGGGAAAAGCAATCCATAATCTACATGGATGCTTCATCTTGGTCTTCCATCCTGTTCCCACTGGCAAAGCGATAGTGTGTTTTCAGTTTGGTCTGACAGTGATGGATACATAGCACAACTCTGCTGGCTAAGGTGGCTGGGGATGATGGGAATAGTAGTCCAACAACATCTGGGGAATTCAAGGTTGATGTATTTGAAGGGCTGCCAGAGGACAATCCTCTATTTGAAGGAGTAATCTTTTTCAAGGACTGCATGGTACAAGCCCAGTTTAAAAATAAAGAAAGCTAAGAACAGAGAACCAAGAGGGCTTTGAAGTTGCCTATCAACAGTGAGCAGCCGGACAGCAGAACAAGAAGCTCTCAGGTCACCTGGCTGGCCTAGTCTTCCTGTGATGGAAATGGAGTCTATTTCTTTTGAAAGTATGGTCAGTGATGGGTGGAAGACAGAGAGCCAAAACAGTAGGTGGAGCCAGAGCCAATGACAGGCAGGGCCAACTAATTCTAATATTGTCTTCCTCCTCGCTGCTGACTTCTACAAGGGCAACACTGAGACTTAAGAGGAGGATTCTGACAGCCACTGCCACCAGCCCCCGGGGCTCATTGGAAGTAAGGAAGATGGCAGACGGGGGCCAGCTGAGCGTAGTAATTCTTTCTACATGTGCATCCATAAATCCATTAGTATGTGCAAATTTGCGCAAATCCTGTGTCCTCTGTTGTCCACTATTTAAAGGCTATCGATGACTACCAGTGATGATGGCTATGCTCTGCCTCCATGGTTGGAGGCTGTAATGCTTCTGAATACCAGTTGCTGGAAATCACAGGAGGGGAGAGGGCTCTTATGCTTGGGTCCTGCTTGCCAGTTTACCAGAGGCATCTTGGTGGCCAGTATTACAGCAGGATGCTGGGAAAGATGAAACACAGCAGACTTCATTTGCCTGTTGTTGTTGTTGTTGTTGTTGTTGTTGTTGTTGTTGTTCTTCTTCTTCTTCTTCTTCTTCTTCTTCTTCTTCTTCTTCTTCTTCTTCTTCCTTGCTAAAGTGGCTAGCCTATCAATTCAACTGTCCATATTGTCTTCTCCAAAAAATATCTCCTGCCCAACCCATGGTTCTTCATCTTCAGAGCTGGATTCTTGGCACACTTGTTCTTCTCTCTCTCTCTCTCTCTCTCTCTCTCTCTCTCTCTCTCTCCTCTTGTTCTTTCTCTGTTAAAACTTTAGGCTTCAGAGGAAATAAGGAAGCATTAAGCCCCTGTTCAGCATCACTAATTCCATCAAAGATTTCTCATTATTCATTGTTGGCAGTTTAATTTTCTTCACTCTCCTTCCCTAGAACAAGTGATTGCCTGAATTACTGACCTTCCCATCTTCCAAACGTGGGAGACTCTCCCCTGCTCCCCTGGAAGGCCCATTTGGCATGCAACTGGTGTAGCCAGTCAATGATGGGCTGTGGTGACTGGCTAAGGCATCAGGAATCAGAGATGAAAGCCGTGGGGGGTCAGAGTTCCAGAATCTAGAGAGATCTGGAGAGCTAAGAGAGGTCATGGCAATAAGAGCGTGCATTCTCAAAAGGCCAAGCTTAATTTTGGATAACTGAAAATCAACTGCAAATCTAATTTCTCCTAATGGTTTATGCCAATCTTCAATAACCTGCTGCCTTCTAGATGCTGTGCATACCATACATTTGAAGCCAATGGGTTCCCCTAAAAATCCTGGAAGTTTCAGTCTGTATAAGGTACTAAACTATACTCCCAGGGATTCTTTGGAGGAAGGCATGGGCTTTAAATGCACTTAAAATACATGTAGGTAGCTGTGTTGGTCTGACGCAGTTGAAATAAATTAAAAAATTGTCCAGTAGCACTTAGAGACCAACTAAGTTTGTTCTGGGTATAAGCTTTCGTGTGCATGCACACTTCTTCAGATACACTGAAACAGAAGTCTGCCCACCGCTTCAGCCACCCTACAGCTGAGGGGGCAGCTGCAGAGAGGCTCCACACAGCACGCCCTGCCTTGGCTGGCCCCACTCTCATGGGCAGCTCGCCTCGCCCTGGCTGCAGGACACACACACTGCACTGGGCACCCGAGTGGCTAGCTATGCCTCTGTACATGCATGTATTGCAACAGCAAGCATTCTCTTTCAAGAGCCCTTTCTTTCCTTGTAAGGGGAAAGGGGAAAGGTGTTGTCTACCATGCTACATATTTCTAGTGCTCTTGTACCACTTTTAAAAGTCATGGCTTCCCCTAAAGAATCCTGGGGATTATAGTTTATTAAGGATCGTGACCTCACACACCTACATTTCCTAGCACCCTTAACAAAACACACTTCCCAGGGGTCTCCAAGTTGTTAAGTTGGCATAAAATTGCTTTAAGTGTAGAGTGTGGATTTGACCTACTAAGATGGTTCTTTTTCATTTACAGGTTTCCCATATATATTTCATATAAACTTTCTTTGTTTGTTTGTTTGTTTGTTTGTTTGTTTGTTTGTTTTATTAAATTTATATACAGCCCTTCATCTGAAGATCACAAGGCAGTTTACAGCATAAAAAAAAAATACAAAATGAGAAAACAAAATACATAACATAACAAACCAGTAAACCCTCTCCCACAAACACATTTAAAAAGCTCCTGGTTATGGAGCAACATTTTTGCCTGGTGCCTAAAGACATGTAATGAAGGCACCAGGTGAGCTTCCCTGGGGAGAGCATTGCATGAAACAAAGCTTTTTTAAAAATGCTGCCCAATTAATCAGGTCACCCAGGCTTCACCAACCTGGTGGCCCCCAGAAGCTGTTGGGCAACACTTAAGAACATCAGAAGAGCCTGCTGGATCAGACCAGTGACCCATCTTGTCCAACAATGCTCCACCCCAGATGCCTATGGGACACTGGCAAGCAGGACCCGGGTACAAGAGGACTCTCCCCCACTGTGATTTCTCGCAACTGGTATTCAGAAGCATTAGTGCCTCTGACTATGCAGGCAGAGCACAACCTCCATCATGGCTGGTATCAATAGAGCCTTCTCCTCCATTAATTTGCCCAGTCCTCTTCTAAAGCCATCCAAGCTGGTGGCCCTCACTATCTCCTGTGTCATCAGCCACACCCAGCATGGCCAATGGCCAAGAATCCATCCTTACTAGCAGCTTGCTAGTATCTTTGCAGATTTCAAAAGATACTTTTTTATCTCGTTTGCATTTGGCGTGGTTTTCATTTCATAGAAACTGGTGATAGTAAGAAGATGAGCATGCAGCTATGAATAGTCTTATCTGTGCTGAACTTTACTCTGATCAGCTCTAGATATATGTAAATAGGTATGTATTTTTAAACCATGCTAGAAAAGCAGACGGTAGGATAGAGAACTTTCTTTCGACTGCTGGACATCTCAAGATGAAGATCACAAACTTCCTTGCTCTGGTGTTTGCCCTCCTGACAGCCACTGCTTGTTACCCTGTTACACAGGGCAAGGTGAAAGCAAATGCCCATAAACTCCTCCTGATCTCCTTCGATGGATTCCGGTGGAATTATGACCAGGATGTCGACACTCCAAACATGGACTACTTGGTCAAAGAAGGGGTGAAAGCGGAATATGTAACTCCTCCCTTTGTGACCATGACTTCACCATCCCATTTCACAACCATGTCAGGTAAGCCCATCCCATATTCCCCAGCTATCTGGTGTTCATCCTTAGTTAAAAAATGTCTATTCCATTTATGTATTATTTTGTTTATGTAGCGATGGCAACCAACTTAGATGGCTTTCAAAGAGGGTCTGACAAAAGGCTATCAGTTGCTACTAACCACAATGGCTATGTTCTTTCTCGGCTGTCGGAAGCTGTTGCACTCATATCTTGCTTGTCTGCTTCCCATAGCTTCACATCTGGGTGCTTCACATCTGGGTGACCACTGTGAGAAGAGGATGCTGGAATAGAAGAGCCATTAGGCTCTTCTTGTGTTTTTAACTGAGTATGTGTCAGAGACTGGGCAGAGGAGAAATGGTGGAGACCACCTCCCCAGCCTGACCCTTCCAGAGAAGAAGAAGACAGTTCAGAATTACAACAGGGATTTGAGAGAGGTCACAGCTCAGAAGCAGATGAGGGGGAAAGCTGGGAAATAATGGGAGAGGAAAAGAAACCACCAGGAGGGCAACAGCTGACAGACACAGTGTCTTCAGAAAGCATTCCAGACACACACACCCTCTCCTAGAAACCGGCAAGCCTTGAAAGTAGTAGAGCAAAGGGCTCAGAAGCAAACGGTCCTTAACGCCACCCCTAGAAGAGATGAGGAATGAGGAATTGGGAGGAAAAAGGGGTGGAGAGTCACTCAGGACAATGCCATTATTCTGAGAGGCTGCATTCCCAAGCCTCTCTCTGTGAATATTGAATAAAAGCAGATGGTAAGGACTTTTCCTTGTCTCGTCCGTTCCTGGCAACCTGCCGCGGGGGGGGGGGGGTTACTCCACCGCCTGACAGTATGCCTCTGAATGCCAATTGCTGGGAATTGCAAGCTGAGGAATTCCATTTGCTGGGACCAGGCAAGCGAGAGGCACTATCAGAGTTCAAGGGCACATTCCGGCCAGGCAAAAACACTCAAGGAGGGGGCAAAGCAGGGCTGCTGATGGGTGTGGCCTGGGGGGAAGGGTGTGGTTGAGAAGGGGTGTAAGTTCAAAGGGATAGAGAGGTCTGGAGAGTTACACTTGGTTCCCAGGCTTGAGTTCCCCAACCCTTACATAGCTGCTAAAATAGCATTGTTCTTGCATTTATAGTTCACCTTTCCTCAAAGGAGCTCAAGGTGGTATAAATTGTTCCCTCCCACATTCATGTCATCCTCACAACAACCCAGTGAGGTAGACTAGGCTGAGAGGCAGTAACTGGCTCAAGGTCATTCAGTGAGCTCATGGCTGACTGGGGATTTGAACCCTGGTCTCCCAGGTCTTAGTCTGACACCCTAGGCACTACAGCATACTGGTATCAGAGATTTATGTATATCAACTGCTGTGGTGCCACATAGGCAATTGCTATGGGGTTCAGGAAGAGCTCCACCTTCTGGAAATGTTCGTCCAGGAAGAACTGAACCATCATATAATCAACGCTAGACAAGTGGTCCAAAAGGATAACAGAATCAATGACACGGCATCAAAAACAACCAAGTCATCTAGAAGAACTAACAGGATCACAATCCTGCTGTCCGTTCTCCAGCGTAACTCATCTAACAGCGAGAAGTCATTGTTACAGTGAAGCTATGTGAACAGAACAGGTAATAGAAGCAGGGGTTTAGTGCAGGGAGACAAAACACTGCTTCTTCTACTAGGAGATCTAGATTCAGGTAGGTAGCCGTGTTGGTCTGACGCAGTCGAAATAAATAAAAAATTGTCCAGTAGCACCTTAGAGACCAACTACGTTTGTTCTGGGTATAAGCTTTTGTGTGCATGCACACGAAAGCTTGCATGCTTTCTGAAGAAGTGTGCATGCACACAAAAGCTTATACCCAGAACAAACGTAGTTGGTCTCTAAGGTGCTACTGGACAATTTTTTATTTACTAGGAGATCTGTTCACATAGCTTCACCATTCCAATGAGCCAATAATGAACTGATTTCACCAATAAAACAAGGGGGGGGGGGGATAATGCTTCTGGTATATGACTCCTGTGACTGCCTCCAAGGAAAGAATAATATGTAAAGGGTGTGTGTATGTGTGCATGTTAATCAAAGCCCTTATCAGATACCAAGAGATAAACCTTACATAATTCAAGATAAAATCTTATCTTCAAGTTCAGGGACCAATTAAGCAACTACCTTGTAATGATCCTTCTGCTCTTTGCAAAAAGGAAAAGAAAATGTTAAGAAAAGGGGCATCTCTTACAAAGGGGGATGGTGCAGTCGTTGCAGAGGCCCCCAATTCAACTTTGTTTTGGCTTCAGCTTTGACTGACCTTGCTGCAGTCGAATACCTTACAGAATTATCAATGGGGAAATTGTATAGTCTTTCGGAAAAATCCTTTGGGAAAGAAGTTTAAGTTGTCATCTTGTTTAATTAGTGTTTATATTACATTATTGTTAGATGTTCCATCACAGTAGTCAGCCACCTTATAAGGTCCATTTCCAGGACGGGAAGGTGGGTGCTTTGATTAATTAATTAATTAATCAATCATTGCCAACAAATAACTTTGAAAGCTGAGGAAAATTGATATTTTTTATTGCAAATAGATATGCTGGAAGTCAATCCTAATTAAATGAAAGCATTCAAGGCTAAAAACTTTATTTGTGGGGTGGGGAGCAGTCAGTGGTGCCCATGAGGCATTTCCTCTGTGTCTACAAAGCTCAGAACCCTACCCAGACGCATGACTGTGTGTGGATTTTAACCCTGGTCTCCTGGGACCTTGTACAGCACCCTAACCACTACACCACACTGCCACTGTTCTGGCTCTTGATTCAAACCTGGCAAACATTCACCTCTATTTCCTATGCCGTTTGGCTGGCTAGTGGCCCAATATCATGGGATGTCTATTTCCAGCTTCAATATTTGTTGCTAGGAACTTTATTCTCCAAGACGAAAGCTGTTGTTTTCTCTCTTCCCTGCCAGATCCTGTGACTCATTCTCTGGGTAGATCATTATTTATAGTGCAGCTGAATACTATAAGCTTTGGCCTTTTGCTAAGAAGTCTATCGCTCAGCAGTTAATTTAGCAGAGGCAGTGCCCTGTGCCCACAATGAATCTGAACTCTCACTTCCCTCTGCTGATTTCTGCCAAGGCTGGTCCCAGGCTTCTCTCCCCACCACCACCACCTTCTTCATGCTCCTCTCTCTCAGTTTTTAGCCTTTTCTGTTATTTCAGACAGAGCCTCTCTCACCCTGTTCAAAGCCCAAATCGAGGGTGCCCACTTACTCATCTCCAAAAAATAAAGAGTGCATCACTAGGGATCGAGAGTGGTATATAGAGTTGAGCATGCTAATCTGTGAGAGAAGAGGAGCCCCGCTGGATCAGACCAAAGGCCCACCTAGTCCAGCATCCTCTTCTCATAGTGGCCAATCAGATTCCTCCAGGAAGCCCACAGGCAATAGCCCTCCCCTTGCTGCTACTTGTAAGAACACAATAAGAGTCCTCCTAGATCTGGCCAATGGCCCATCAAGGCCACCATCCTGTTCTCACAGTGGCCACCCAGATGTCTCCTTGAGCAACCCAGAAGCAGGACCCAAGCACAAGAGCAACTCTCCCCTCCTGTGGCTTCCAGCAACTGGTATTCAGAAGCATTGCTGCTTCCAACGATGGAAGCAGAACATAGCCTTAGTGGCTTATAGTCATTGATAGCGTCTCCCCCATGAATTTGTCTGATTCTCTTTTAAAGCCATCCAAACTGGTGGCCACCATGACACAGAAATTACACACACACCGCTGGTCTCTGTTCTTATAGTTCTTTATTATTAAACAAGGCATGGTCCTGAAAGTCCCACCAGCAGTGGGACTGTCCTCTGAGGTACCTTCCAATAGAGGACTACCGTCTATAAAGTAGATCGCATGACCACGCAGGTCTGAACTCAAGGCAGGCAGCTGTGGTTCCAGGGAGAGTATCTTTGGAAGTTGCCTTTCTCCATGAAGAGGAGAGCCCAGGAAGTCATGGCTGAAAGCACCCATCCTATGTTCATAAAAGAAGTCCGGTGTGACCAAGTGATGCCCAACCTGCCTTATACATGTATGTTGATATTTCCAGGAAACATCCATGATTATGACATGGAAGACTGATTACACAGGGATAACAGAAGAGCACAGGAAGCTGCCTTATACCAAGTCAGGCCATTGGTGCCTCTAGCTCAGTATTGTCTACACTGACTGGCAGCAGCTCTCCAGGGTTTCAGGCAGGAGTCTTCCCTTGTCCTATCTGGAGATGCTGGAAACTGAACCTGGGACTTTCTGCCTGCAAGGCAGATGTTCCACCCTTGAGGTTCAAAACTCAGAAACAGAAAGGTTTCTCCCATATATATATATATATATTGCTATGTTCAACACAGCTCTAAAAATCTGTAATGCAATTACATGTTTATATGGTCTCATTATTTACTGGGAATTAATTAAAACAGACAGGCAGATATGCTTATATGCTTACCAGCCATCCAACAGGTTTTAATTAATATTCCTCATTAAAAAGAACTTCCCGTAAAGTAAATACATTACTCAGATAATGATTTAATTAGTATCTGAATGTGATTGGTTAAAAAAGATTATCTTTGCCAGAAATTCATTCTAGGATGCAATATAGTGTGCACTAATAAAGTGCAGAAGTGGTGAAATGTTCAGAGCCTGTAGTCTCTCTCACTGGCTCAGTATCAAAAATTGTTCTGTATTCAAGATGGCAGCAGAACAGATAGGTCTAGAACACTCAAGTAAGTGAGTCAAGTGTCATACTACTGCAGAAGCGAGGAGGTACTATCAGGAGCCCAAGTCACCTAGGGGGCAGTGAGTCCACAGTCCACAACAGAACACCCACCTTTCTTACCATGTTTCATCCTTTTTCTTTTCCAAACCTAGGCCGCTGGATCGAAGACCATGGTGTCATCCACAATATGATGTTCAACACGGAGACTCTGAGAAAGTATGGCCACAAAGAAACACAGAACAAGACCGAATGGTGGGACAATGGAGTTCTGCCACTGTGGATCACAGCTCAAAACCAGGTACTGGATCCAGAGCAATGATTATATTGCTATAATGAATTGTCCGAGGGCATCCTCGAGTTTCTCTGGACCAAGGGTTGCATTTTCATGGGGAAGACTATTAGTGGCAACTAGCTATGTTCTGCCTCCACCATCAGAGGCATTAATGCATCTCAAAATGAAGGCTCTTGTGCTCAGGTCCTGCTTGAGGGTATCTCACAGGCATCTGACTGCTTGAACAAGAATTTGGACCAGATAGGCTTTTGACCTGATCCAGCAGGATCGTCATAAGTTCATGTGATGAACAAGTGGATGCAGACTGAAGGATGATCAAAGTTAAATCAGCAAAGACCACCCTGATGGATGGTCAGGGGTGATCAAAGGGTAACCGGCACCCGGTGCAGGGTGTTGGGGGCGAGGCAAACCGCCCGGCAGCTCGTGCGCATGCGCCATACATACAGTGCATGTGCGGCTGCACTACATACAGTGCATGTGCATGCGCTGTACATAGCAGCACTGCGCATGCACCGCCAGGTGGTTTGCCGATGGCGCCGTGGCGGGATCCTCTGCTCGCGGCGGTGATGGAAGGGTTCTCCGCTTGCAGCTGCAGTGGTGGCGGAGGGATCCTCCGCACACGGCTGTGGGGTGCGATGGCGGCAGCTCACACCGCCGCTCCCAGGGCAGCGGGGCGAGTTTCCCACAGGGTGCCTTCTTGTCACCCCCTCAGAGATGGCACACAGGGCGGATCGCCCCCCTCCCTCCGCCACTGTGGATGCTGTTCACACCTTTCTAGACAGATAAACCCAAGGATCTGCAAACAGCACGACTGAATCAGCATCATTGTGGTGTTTCTTGTTTTTTAATGAAAAACTCTTGTGTTCCTTAACCTATAAGAAGAACCTATACATACAGATGGCCTGAAAGAATCTTTATGTGGATGTGGTCAGAGGCAGTAACACTTCTGAATACCAGTTGCTGGAAATCACAGGAGGAGAGAGTGATCGTGTGCTCAGGCATTAGGGCGGCAACTGTGAGAACAGGATCCTGGGCTAGGCAGGCCACTGGCCAGATCCAGTATGTTATGTTCTTGTGAACTGAATTTCTCTCCCATCTCTACTCTCAGGTTTTTGGCCGATTTCTTGCCTCTGACACAGCTGAGCTCCATTTTTCCTTTATTGCTTACCACCTGAATCCCTCCTCTTCTTCGCTGCTGAGCTTGTCAACACTTGTACAGAAAGTACACTTAATTCTGGGCAAATCCAGCTTTCCAGAACCATCTCTCATCATTCAGTAGTCCAAAAGATTGTCATTACTTCTTAATCACATGAACAATGAGTAGGCAATGCCCGTTTTAGGAATCCCAAGTGGTTACAGCCTGCTGATAGCTGAAGATCAGCAAAGCGATTCATCTTACGTGGCATCACCTACATCATTTTCAGAGAAATGTTGACTCCGCATGCGATTTGGACAAAACTGGGTTTATTAATCATCAGATACCAGTCCCTCCCACTCTGCTCCAATTTGGGCGTGTTTCTGTGGAGATAAATGTGTTAACCTCTGGCCAAGTCTAACGGTTTTTCTTTGACAGAATCCATGTTGCCAGGATTCCATGGGAAACACTGGAAAAGAAATAGGCTGGTGTAGACTCATGTAATGAAGGGCTAAGTTAACCCAAAGATGGTGGTCCGTTAGGGTAAATGTGCCCTCAGCCAGTCCTCACCTTCCTACCTTCTTTCTTAACTGACAACTTGTCATGTAGTGGCCAAATCAGAAGTGCAGAGTTCTTTCATCATAGTCACAGCCGCACCAGAGGCAGCCTCTTCCACTGTCAAAAAGCACTTGCCATTAGGATGCTATTTTGCGGTTTGCCTCAGGTGCCAAAATGTACTGGGCCCTGATCACTGTAGAGATCTGATTCCTCACTCTGAGAACAAGATGCAGAACTAGATGGGTTACTGGCCTGATCCAGGCAGGTAGTTCTTTTGTTCCTAAACCTACACAGAGAGTTAAGAGCCCGGTTTGGTTGCCAGAATTTCCTGACCACATACTATTTACCTCTTGATCGACTGGTTGGTTGGTTGATAAGTTCAGAGGGAGACAATGAAATGGCTGAACATCCCTTAGTCCGTTGAAAGCCCATGTACTGATTGCTTTGGAAAAGACAAAATGTGTCTTGAATTCAAGGCAAAGGAATTTGGTCTCAGCAAACATCACTCTAGCAACTCAGAGATTAAACATAATACATCTAATTTCTTTCTTCTTCTTTTTTGAAAATGCATTGATATATGAGAGCCTTGAAGTATTTCTCTAAAGATATGTTTCGCTGTTTAGCAGAAGACTAAATAGAATGTCAAGAGAAACAGTGACCTTGTAAATCTCCAGCCAAACAATATAACTCCCTTTCTTTTCTTTTTCTGTATTTCCACTACTTCCACTCTTTCTCTTAGCGAAGGAAAATGTAGCTACAGTTTCTTTGCCCTCGCATGGGGGGGTGGGTGCGGGGAAGAGTGATGCTAATTCGAATGACACATGGAACAGGAATTTTAAAGAGCTTGTGCAGCTAAAGGTTAAATCTAGCTTATGTCAAATTGAAAGCAGCCTTCAAAGTGAAAAGCAGGAGAAACCAAAATTACAAAGCACTTTAGTTTAAGCAAAGGGTACGATCAGGAAAGGGGGTGGGTGGAAACAGCCCCGCAAACCTGCCAGCTGCCTCAATTCACAACTTTGAGGAATAATAAGAATGTCTGTGACGCTCTGCAATAAAAGAAAGCAGCAATATTAACAGAAAATAACATTCCCAGTAAAACTGGTAATAATCGCAAATTTTATAGCTGCTAGTAAAGTTGATTATGTTAATAAAATGGGGAGGCAAGAACAGTAAATACCCTCTTGTTTCTACATAATTATATTTTTATTGAGCTTTATTAAATTGTTTTGTTGGAAATAAGAACAGGAGGAATTCCCCTGCCAGGTTTTGACTCAATGTGAATTCAGCTACTTGGGTTAAAAAGATCTGGAGCCAGACGTCAAAGCTCTCCAAGGTACAATTCTGGGGATAAAGAGGGGGAGGAAAAGAGCATAGTCACTGCCCTCCACTGGGCCTGTTTATGCATATAGGTTGGAGGGAGATGAGCCTCAGACTCCAGGCTTCTCTAGTTCACACGCAGAACTCTCCCTAGGAGATGGTCCCTCACCAGCCACACCCTTTTCCCCATGTCAAACCCCTCACCAACCCTGATTCGCACCCTCTTGATAGTTTTTGGCAGGCTGGAAAACATCATTGAACTCTGGTAATGCTTCTGGCTTGTCTGCCTGGAGGACAGAGATATATGAGTAAATTAACATTTGTTGCTCTACCCACTTTTGCATGTGGCCCCCAGAAGCTTCCCTAGATGGGAATGTGGCCCTCTAGCAGAAAAGGGTGCCCCGTCCTAATATAGATGTATATAGATGTATGTACACCCCAGTGCCTGAAACTCATAAGCCATTTTATGCAGTGATAGTTGGGATCAAGGGGTAAACTTTTCTCAGGACTTCGCCAGTTCTGGTAGTGCATGGATAGCAAGTTTGCAGATAAAACTCCTTGTGCATGGAAATTTAGCACATTAGGCTAGCCATCACTTTGCCATGTTTTAATTTATACAGGGAAAGTATAGATTGTAAGCTCTTTGGGGATGGGGATCTGTCTATTCCCACCCCACACCCCACCCCGGTTCTGTAACTCTGTAATGCTCAATGTAATCCCACAATACCCAGAGGGACAACCTTGAATGCTATGGCACTTACTTCTGAGTAGAAATGTATAGGGTTGCATTTTGAGATAACAAACCTGTTTGCATTCAGCTGGAATTAACCTTCATTGGAACAGTGGGACTTACAGTGGTACCTCGGGTTAAGTACTTAATTCATTCTGGAGGTCCGTACTTAACCTGAAACTGTTCTTAACCTGAAGCACCACTTTAGCTAATGAGGCCTCCTGCTGCTGCCGCGCTGCCGGAGCACAATTTCTGTTCTCATCCTGAAGCAAAGTTCTTAACCTGAAGCACTATTTCTGGGTTAGCGGAGTCTGTAACCTGAAGCATATGTAACCTGAAGTGTATATAACCCGAGGTACCACTGTACTTCTGAGTAAACATACTCAGGATTGCACTGTGAAACTACGAAAATGTGGAACTGGTATCCCAAAGAGTGCCAAATATCACAATGGAGATTCTGATGTTACAAGCGGGACTCTGTCCTTAGTACAATCATACCTCGGATTACAGACACTTCAGGTTGTGTGTTTTCGGGTTGTGCACCGCGCCGAACCGGGAAGTCCTGGAACAGGTTACTTCCGGGTTTCGGTGCTTGCACATGCGCAGACACACTAAATCGCGTCATGCGCAGAAGCGCCGAATCATGACCCGCACATGCGCAGATGCGGCGCTGTGGGTTGTGAATGCTGTAGGTTGCGAACGTGCCTCCCACATGGATCACGTTCGCGACCCAAGCATCCACTGTACCTGGACAGTATTATGAACTCAGATTGATCTTTTCATTCCTTGGCAGGATTTGCCTGTTTTTGTGAAGTTGGGTTTTAAATCAGCTTTGACCTTTTCTCAGCCCCAAAATGGCATATTAAATGTCAGTAAGAACATTATGATAAGCATAATAATCATAATAATAATAATCTGGCTGGTGCTACTCTGAAATTAATTGAATTAATAAAATTACTCTGTAAAATTTATGGCAGAGGTTACCTCTGATTTGACAGGCATTTCATATGTGGAGGAAATTTCTACCTTATGCCGTAATCCTATACGTGTTTATTTTTTTTAATATAATTTTTATTATTTTCAGTAATAAAACAGAAACATAAAATATGACATTATGATAGCCATTCAAAAGCATTTGCTCTGCCGAGCTTGTGACTTCCCTCCATCCCTTCAACTGGTTTCCAATTTCCTAAAAAACTGTATACGCATTTCTGCTGTCAGTTTCTGTCCTTCAATACATATCAAATCCTTCTATTATCCATGTTCAGATACTATTTTTATATTGTGTAGCAGGATTTATGTCAATCCTGCTAGTGTCTTCACATTTTTGCAATGATCTCTCAAGTACTCAATAAATTTACTCCAATCTCTCTGGAATTTCTCGTCACCTTGGTTCCGGATCCTCACAGTCAGTTTGGCTAGCTCCGCATAGTCCATCATCTTCATCTGCCACTCCTCAATCGTTGGTAATTCTTGTGATTACCACCTTTAGGCTAACAAAATTCTTGCTGCAGTGGTGGCATACATAAACAGTCTTTGGTCTACTTTTGCAATCTCTTCTCCCATCAACCCAAGCAAAAACGCTTCCGGTTTTTGGGGGAAGGTATATTTTAACATCTTTTTTAGTTCATTATAGACCATTTCCCAAAAAGTTTTCACCTTATAATAAGTCCACCACATATGGTAAAAGTCTCCATCCTTTTCATTGCATTTCCAATATATTTTTCATCCTATACATTTTGGCCAGTTTTACTGGGGTCAAATACCACCAATACATCATTTTCATTACATTTTCTTTCAGTGTACCATACATGCTGTAAATTTTAAATTCTGATTCCATAATTTTGACCAAGATTCATACTGGATATTATGCCCAATGTCTATAGACCATTTCGTCATTACTTCTTTCACCTCTTCATCTTTAGTACGCCATTCTAACAAAAAGTTGTACATCTTTGACAACAGTTTAACTTTACCCTCCAGCAGTTCAGTTTGAAATTTAGATTTCTTACTTTCAAATCCGCAATTCCTTTTGTCAGCACTAAATACCGTATTTTTTGCTCTATAAGACTCACTTTTTCCCTCCTAAAAAGTAAGGGGAAATGTGTGTGCGTCTTATGGAGTGAATGCAGGCTGCGCAGCTATCCCAGAAGCCAGAACAGCAAGAGGGATCACTGCTTTCGCTGCGCAGTGATCCCTCTTGTTGTTCTGGCTTCTGAGATTCAGAATATTTTTTTTCTTGTTTTCCTCCTCCAAAAACTAGGTGCGTCTTATGGTCTGGTGCGTCTTATAGAGCGAAAAATACGGTATATCATTTACTTGGTAACATTGCAGCCAACCAGTAAACATTTCCCCTATCTGTTCATATGGTTTGAGTTTCCACCATTTCTCTGTTTCTATCAACATTTCACCATAGGTGGCCCATTTCTCTTCCATATTAAATTTTTTAACAGTCAGTGCTTCTACTGGAGATAGCCACCAAGGTGTTTTCCATTCTAACAGATTTTTATATCTATCCCATACATCATAAATTGATTTTCTTATCATGTGGTTTAGAAATCCTTTATGCAATTTTACTTTATCATACCACAAATACGAATGCCACCCAAATCTGTTATCATAACCTTCTAAGTCCAATAAATCTGTATTTTTCAATGTTATCCACTCTTTCAACCAACACAAGCAGGACGCCTCATAGTAGAGCTTCAAATCTGGCAAGGAGTTTCTTTTTTGTCTATTAATAATTTAAACTTTATCCTTGGTTTTTTCCCTTGCCAGATGAATCTCGATAGAATCTTTCGCCAATCCTTAAATTGCCCTGTTCCTTTAATTATCGGAATCATTTGAAAAAGAAATAACATCTTGGGTAGAACATTCATCTTTATAGCGGATATTCTGCCCCACAATGACATATTTAATCTGTTCCATATTTCTAAATCACTTTTAATTTCTCTCCATGTTAAAACATAATTGTCATTAAACAAATTAATATTTTGGGGGGTTAATCAAATTCCTAAATATTTAGCTTTTTTGACCACCGTAATTCCAAATTCTTGTTGCATCTCTTCTAATTTTCCTTTATTCATATTTTTCATCAACATTTTTGTCTTTCCTTTATTCAACTTAAAACCTGCCAACTACCCAAATTCTTCATTTTTTCCCAATGATTCCCTTACACTGGTTTGTGGCTCTTCTAATGTTAGGACCAAATCATCTGCAAAGGCTTTTAGGTTATACTTTTTTACACCGATTCTTATACCTTTCATGGTTATAGATTCCCACAGGTTTTTTGTCAAGACCTCCAGGACAGTAATGAATAATAGTGGCGACAACAGACATCCCTGTCTTGTTCCTTTAAATCCTATACGTGTTTAAGCATTGAGCTCAATGAGGCCTATGCGAATGTCCATCACTGTCCTAACCGCAAGAGTCCAATTAAAAAAAACAAAAAGTGGAATTGTTACACCAGAGCACTTTAATTCACTAAAATTATGTGACTCTAAATTTACAGTATTGCAGCTGAATCCCTTCCACAGAACACTGATAGTCTGGAGGTGGCATTTGCACTAACAAACCGGGGAAAATGTTCAATAAACAGAGTGTCTGGAAGCAGCTTCAGAGTGTGCTGAAGTATGTTTGCATTCAGGTTGCAACAACGAAGAGAGATGCTTTGGCTTGATTTTTCTTGTCCTTCACACAGTTAAGAATATTCCCTGACCTCCCCATTTTTTAATTTTAAAAAACCCTCATTTTTTCTCCACTAGGGGAAGAAAACAGCTTCATTTCACTATCCCGGTGGAGGTGCCAATTACAGTGGCCAGGGAGTTCAAAGGAGTTTGGTCGAGTCCTTTACTCACCCCGACAGCAACGAGACGGAGTGGAGGGAAAACATTGATATCGTCATGAAATGGTTCGCCGAGGAAGATTTTGATTTTGTCACACTTTATTATGGGGAACCTGACAAGGTGGGGCACATGGTTGGCCCAGAGACTGAAGACAGGAAAACGATCATCCGACAGATTGACCGGACCATCGGTTACCTCCTTGAAGCAATTGAAAAACACGGCTTGAAGGAGACCCTCAATGTCATCATCACGTCCGATCATGGCATGACCACGGTCAGAAAGAAACCGGAAGTTACTGAGATCATGCTGAGCAACTACATTAAATTCAGCGACCTGGTGAAATTTGACATCGTAGACTATGGTGGCTTTGGCATGATCCTCCCCAAACCGGGTAAAGAAGAGGAAATCTATCAGGCATTGAAAAATGCCCACCCTCATCTCAAAGTGTATAAAAAGGGAGAGTTTCCTGAGCATTTCCATTACGCTCAACATGAACGGGTTTTGCCAATCCTGGTTTATGGAGATTCAGGTTACAGTGTCAATGGGGTAAGTTCATTATGAAATCATGACTTCTGCATACAAGTTGCTGGGGATCCTAAGAGAGGAGAGGTGATATTGCACTCAGGTCCTGACTATGCCTTCCCACTGGGGCATCTGGTTGTCCACTCTGAGAACAGGATGCTGAACTAGATGGGCCCCGGCCTGATCCAACAGGTGTCTCCTTATGTGGTTTCCACTCCATGCAAAATACTTGGATCTTTTCAAAGTAAAATGCCATATTAACACATGCACATTACTATTATTATTATTATTATTATTATTATTATTACTACTACTACCCCGCCCATCCAGCTGAGTTTGCCCAGCCATGCTGGGCGGCTCACAACAGAATATTAAAAATACAATAAAACATCAAACATTAAAAACTTCTCTAAACAGGGCTGCCTTCAGATGTCTTCTAAAAGTCAGATAGTTGTTTATTTCCTTGGCATCTGATGACAGGGCATTCCACAGGGCAGGCACCAATACCAAGAAGGCCCTCTGCCTGGTTCCCTGTAACCTCACATCTCACAGTGAGGAAACCGCCAGAAGGCCCTTGGAGCTGGACCTCAGTGTCTGGGCAGAACGATGGGGGTGGAGATGCTCCTTCAGGTATACTACGCCGAGGCCATTTACGGCTTTAAAGGTCAGCAACCAACACTTTGAATTGTGCTTAGAAACATACTGGGAGCCAATGTAAGTCTTTAAGGACTGGTGGTATATGGTCTCGGTAGCCACCCCCAGTCACCAGTCTCGCTGCCACATTCTGGATTAGTTGTCATTTCCAGGTCACCTTCAAAGGTAGCTCCACATAGAGTGCATTGCAGTAGTCCAAGAGGGAGATAACTAGAGCATGCACCACTCTAATGAGGCAGTCTGTGGGTAGGTAGAGTCTCAGCTGGCATACCAGATGGAGCCGGTAGACAGCTGCCCTGGACACAGAATTGACCTGCACCTCCATGGACAGCTGTGAGTCCAAAATGACTCCCAGGCTGCGCACCTGCTCCTTCATGGGCACAGTTGCCCCATTCAAGACCAGGGAGTCCCTCACACCTGCCCACCCTGTCCCCCAAAAAGAGTACTTCTGTATGGTCAGGATTCAACCTCAATCTGCTAGCCGCCCTCCATCCTCCAACTGCCATAATTCAGGGGAAGGGAACCTGTGGTCTTCCAAGTGTTGTGGAACTAATTGTTTTTATATATGAACTTGGTTTGTTGTATGTTTTTGTTCCTGATGTTTTATTGTGCTATCCCTCTAAGATGTTTCATAGGAAATGATTCATAAATGGAAGGGAATGAGGAAATAAACAGCAACACCCACCATACCTGGCCCATGCAGGCAGCCCAAAGTAATCCTGGACAGAAGCTTTAAATGTTGAGGTGCACGAGGCAGGAGGCAGAGATTTCCATCCCATCTTGTGTTCATTGCACTCAGCACTGTTAACCTTCTGTTGCACTTCGGCTTCCACTAAAACCTACATCCCACTAGTCACTGTGGCCGAAACTATTTCAATTTCAGTGGAAGGGAAACATCAGATCAGATGCAACGTGAAGAAATAATATATTATTTAACATAAAGACTATGGACTAAAAGAAAAAAACAATACTGAACACTGCTCATATTTGACTGTGTGATTTCCATTCCTGAATATGCAAATCGTAGCCAATTTATGCTCCTATTTCAATTTCTGATGGAATTCTCCCTATGCAAAATACACACTCCACTGGCTGTGATCTTAAATGTTTGCTATTCAGAATAGTGGTTAAAATTCAAAACATCGTAAAGACTAGTACAATTTTTGTGGGGAAATGACAGTAAGCGCGCAGCATGGCTTTTTACTCTCACTTTCGCCTTGGGATCTTTTCCTTCTGATTGCGCCCCCATGTGGCAAACTCTCAGGCATGCTGCAACCTGGAGAGACAAGAAATTCCTAAGATCTGCAAAGCGGAATGCATGGGAAAGCTCACCACCTGGGCGTGCATCCTATGGAAATGTTTCCATTGCAAAATGGTGTGCTCCACTGAGCTTGTCGTATCCAAAATGAAAATGTGCATAGAACCTAAAAACATTCAGAAAAAGTACACAGTATGGCCCTCCTTGTATGGAAGGGGTGAGAAGAGGGAATAGATGCATCTCTATTTTAAAAACTGCCTGCTAGCATGTCAAGGAGGTGGCCAGACGATAGCAGAGGAGATGGGACTCCAGGGTCTCTCCTCCCTCAGCTGTCACCTGGCAGGAGACCCTGCAAGAGCCTGCAGCAGACTGAGGAAGGGAAGGGAAGCAGGTCCATTCCCCACTCAGCTGAGAGCTCATCAATGTTTGCTTTCTCCTCTCCTTGCATGCCCCAATCCACCCGCATTCTGGTTAGTCCTTACAAGAACTCTGTAACTAAGAATAATAAATAAATAAATAAATAAATAAATAAATAAATAAATGTTATTTATACCCTGCCCTCCCCGGCCAGAGCCAGGCTCAGAGCGGCTAACACCAGTAAAATTACAGTAAAAACATAACAGGAAAAGAAACCAATTTAAAATAAAGGTTAAAATGCGATTCTAAAATGCAGCCTCATTTTAAAAGTAGCCTATAGATCAAAACTGTAAGGGGAGGGAAACATAAGGGTCAGACTGAGTCCAAACCAAAGGCCAGGCGGAACAGCTCTGTCTTGCAGGCCCTGTGGAAAGATGTCAAGTCCCGCAGGGCCCTGGTCTCTTGTGACAGAGCGTTCCACCAAGTCGGGGCCAGTACTGAGAAGGCCCTGGCCCTTGTTGAGACCAATCTAACCACCTTGTGACTTGGGACCTCCAAAGTGTTGTCATTTGTGGACCTTAAGGTCCTCCGCGGGGCATACCAAGAGAGGCGGCCCCGTAGGTGCCTGAGTTTGCTTTTTCCTCCTCTCTCCCCATCCCTTTGCCATTTATGTTGTGCCTTTCAGATTGCAAGTCATTATTTATATTTGTAAGCTGCTTGGAGGCAGAAATGCTTCTGAATTCCAGTTGCTGGAATCCATAAGAGGAGAGACTGCTCTTGGGCTCTGGTCCTGCTTGCCCTCATTGGGGCATCTGAGTGGTCACTGCAAGAACAAGATTCTGGGCTAGATGGACCATTGGCCTGATCCAGCAGGCTCTAATTGTGCTCTGCAGGCCTTTTATTTTTCAGCTGAAGAGCATGGTGAAAATAGTATCAATAAAGAGCCATTTCCCCAAACAAGCTAGTTTTCAGTCATACAGTTGCCCGCCTGCATTCTCAAGCAGTTCAATCTGCAGTTCCACAAGCTATTTCTAAACATGTAGACTGATCTTCAGACCAAGTTAACACATTTCATGCATCCTGAAGCATGAAAGACCTCTTCACACATCATACTTTTTTTTTTAGGTGTACGTCTGAAGTTTTCAAAGCATAAGGCTAGAATTGTAAACCACGGATGTGAACTTGGTGCCCAGTTTCGAGTGGAGCAATAGTGACATATAGTGGCTGATGCACCAAGTCCTAAGGCTTCCAACATTTGGCAGGCAGTGATGAGAACTGAGAGGTTATGAGAGGTCATGCTTTGTATGAATCATTTTGACATTGCACAGCTATCTACTTGTCTGTCTGTCTATCTATCTATCTATCTATCTATCATCTATCTATCTATCTATCTATTCTTTGCACACAACATTTCCTCGAGTGACATGTTTGCAGAGGGTTACACATGGCATGCTCATGGCGCATTTTTAGATCTAGATTTAATATTAATACATTTTTCCTGTTAAAATATTCAAAGGGCTTACAATGAAAACCAGTAAAAATACAGTATAAAACACTCAACGTGCATATTTTCAATACAGTGGTACCTCAAGTTAAGTACTTAATTCGTTCTGGAGGTCTGTACTTAACCTGAAACTGTTCTTAACCTGAAGCACCACTCTAGCTAATGGGGCCTCCTGCTGTTGCCGCGCCGCCGGAGCACAATTTCTGTTCTCATCCTGAAGCAAAGTTCTTAACCTGAAGCAATATTTCTGGGTTAGCGGAGTCTGTAACCTGAAGAATATGTAACCTGAAGCGTATGTAACCCGAGGTACCACTGTACTGTATTACAATCATAGGCCCCTGCTGCTGCTGCTGCTGCTGCTGCTGCTGCTGCTATTGCTACTGTAGTTTCTGGGGCTGTTTTGCAGATCCCCAAAGAATCCATCCAAAGGGTAACCTTCCTTTTGGCAGCTACCTTGGATAGTTCTGTGCTTAAAAGAACCCACCCTGTGTACTCCCCCACAAACTGTTCATCTAGTCAGCAGAGCATGAGGCTCTTAATCTTAGGGTTGTGGGTTCAAGCCCCACGTTGGGCATAAGATTCCTGCACTGCACGAGGTTGGGCTAGATTGACCCTTATGATGATCCCTTCCAACTCTATAATTCTATGGTTCTGTTAATGAGAACGGGGGGGGGGGGATTATACTAGTCCTGGAGATGATCTAGTTTATTTCTCTCCCTTTAAAATCAATGGGAAGAAAAAAGTGTCCCCCCAAAACAAAATTAGAGAAAGGGTCTGGGAGAACTGAAAGAAAAATGTCTCCTCCACCACCAGCACCTTCTGCTCAAACACAGCAGGGCATAGGAAAAGGCAGATTGTCCACCTCCACTTCCCACACCCACTTTATGATTGCTGTGTAGTATCCCCCCCCAAAAAAAACCCCACATCTACGCTGCTACCCATCACTACAGCTTGTGGTTACAAATCCCATAATTTAATTCTGTGTTGCTTAGCTATGCACCCAGATGGAATCGTTAAGGAAGCACTTTCCTCCAGAAACCTAAGAGCACTTCAGGCATGCAATAAATATAAGTGCACAAACCATTGGAAATGTGCTTACGTTCTCTTTTCAGAGGTTCATCCTCTACGTCAACAAAGGTGACCATGGATTTGACAACGAAGACATGGATATGAAGACCATCTTCAGAGCTTTTGGTCCGGATTTCAAGAAGGGCTATTTGGCAGAACCCTTTGACACCATCCACATTTACCCGTTGATGTGTGAGCTCCTGGGAGTCCATCCCGAACCCAACAATGGCTCTTTGGCATTCACTCGCAACATGCTCCATTCAGCACCATCCAGGAACATCCTTATTCCCATCCTTGTAGGAGGCATCCTGGGAGTCCTGCTTCTTCTGATACCCATCTCCATAGTGTCTTACAGGGCTAGTCAACGTCAGAAGAGGTAAGCCGTGTTTCCTTCTTTGTTCCCTAGTTCTGGAATGGCATGTTGTGGAAGGAGGAAGCAGAGGTAAAGAAGGCCAGTGTTGGCACCTGGCACCCTCAGGCAGTTGACAGGATCCATTGCTACATAGGAACACAGGAAAATAACTTATTTGGAGTCAGACCATGGGGTCCACAATTGTCCACAATGACTGACAGCAACTCTCTGGGAGTTCAGGCAAGGGACATTCTCCGCTCTGTCTGGAGATGCCAGGGATTGAACCTGGGACCTTCTGCATGCAAAACAGATGATCTACCACTGAGCTATGGCCATCTGCCCTTTGGGGAAGGGCCACAGCTCAGTGGTATAGCATCTGCTTTGCATGAAGGAAGTCCCAGATTCAATCCCCAGCATCTCCCAGTTGGGGTGACAAAGACTCCCCTACTTGAAATCCAGGAGAACCTCTGCCAGTCAAAGGTGCAAAGGTAAGAATCACATAAATTGCCCTGCCCACTTTTGGATCTGGCCCCACCCACCACTGAGGCAATGTGTCCCTCAGACTGAAAAAGGGTCTTTCCACTCATAATGTACTACATAAGGCAAAGGACAGGAGTGTTCTTATTCCCGAGAGGCAGATCAGCAAACGCCAGCTAGCAAGCCATTCACTGCAAATCCTGTTTTATTCACTCCTGTAAGAAATAAATATAAAAATCTGCATCTTCACAAATCACATCTGCACTCTGAAACCACAATAAAACACCAGCATGCTCTTTTCCCAGTCATAATTTTGTCATGTTTCACTCACACATTGATTATTCGGCAATGAAATATCAATGCAAGTCTTATTACACCCTATGAAAACATCCTAGTAAACAACATGTATCTGTATAAAACTTTCACGTGGATTCAATCAGCCGGCAATTATGAGGGCCATTTATTTCATTTATTTATTTATTTTTGCTTGCGACACTATAAAACATCTCTCATGCAATGTTCATTTCGCCTTCTAAATTGCTGGGCCCGTAAAGAGACATCTGCACTGCAAACTATGGCACAGTAAAATTTGGGTCCTCAATTGTCACATCGCAAAATGCAACCCGCATTCATAGAGAATGCAGTAGAAAACACAGCAATTTGCCTGCTTTGTTACCCTACCCCCCCCCCCCGCTTGCACAGATGCAGCACAGAAACACAATACAAAAGATCAGAGGGGCCTAATGCAGGGGTAAGGAACTTTCTTCAGGCTGAGGGGGACCACATTACCTTTTAGGCAACCTTCTGGGGGCCAGACACCAGTGATGGGCAGGGCCAGGGGCAAAAGTGAGTGGAACGACGAAGGCTAATTTTGCCTTTGTGCAGAAGCTGTGCCAAGGATAAGGTTCTTAGAGGATAAGGCTATTCATGGCTACTAGCAAGGATGGCTATGCACTGCCTCCATGGTCTAAGTATCACTTGCTGAAAACCGCAGGAGGGGAGAGGGCTCTTGTGCTCGGATCCGGCTTCAAGATTTCCCACCAGTATCTGCCTGGCCACTGTAAGAACAGGATGCTGGACTAGATGGGCCACTGACCTGATCCAAAGACTCTTCTTATGTTCCTAGGCTATTTTCTACACACATCCATCCAGAAAAGCACTGCGACATTGAGCTAGATAGACCAGTGGTCTGATTCAGAGTAAGGCAGCTCCCTGTTCCAGGCACCAATCAAACCAAGACCCACTGGGCTTCAGCAAGGGGGTAGCCTCGTGGTAGCCTTGTGTGCCTTCAGACCATACTGAGAGCTTTGCCTGCCGGACAGCTACGCCCCAGTCCATACATTCGTCTTGAGATGTGCAGATGAGTGGGAGCCAGTGTGGCACAACAGAGCCACCCTGCCAGCTCTGGCATCTCTGCAGCTTATTTGGATGCAATAAGGCGGCAGCAGGGTCAGGACTCTATGGATGCACCATCAGATTGGCACCCACAATGCCTCCATGCAGCCCATACCTCCTTGCATAGGAGCCAACTCCTAGGGGCCGAGGGGTCTTTGGGGCCCCCAATAAAATATTTGAGGGGGACTGGGGCCCCCAAAAGTTGATGGGCACTGCCAATCAAATGGTGTGCGTGCATCGTGTCATGTGGTCGATTATGGGGGGCAGGGCTTACCTGGGCATCCCTAATATTTTATTCAAGTTGGCACCCCTGCCTCTTTGCCACCCAGGAATTTATTATTAATTCTACACCACCTTCCCCTACCCAATGGCAAGGAGTTCAAGGTGGTGTACATGGTTCTGCCCTCCCCATTTTATCCTCACAACCCTGTGAGGTAAGCTAGGCAGAGAGACAGTGACTGGTCCAAGGTCACCCAGTAAGCTTCATAGCTGAGTAGGGATTCACACCCAAGTCTCCCAGGTCATGGTTCAACAAGAAACATAGGGACAGCCTTTGCAACTTGAGAAATGCTTGTGGTCAGCCCTGAACAAGTCCACATTAAAAGGCATACGCTTTTAGCTGGAATACTTCCTGCCTTCCTGAGTGTGCCAGGATCCGACCAAGACTACAGCTAGTTGCCATCTCATTAAATAATGATATTCCACTACTCCCCAACTTGAAATATATCTCCAGTTGTGGGTTCTTTTCTTTTTCTTTCTCTCCCTTTGCATAGAAACCATTTCCAATCCCTAATTAACAATAGCATAGCAGATGTTTTATTAAGCATATCATCTATCTCTGGATAAAAAGCATCTAGAAACGACTCCGGCAATCTGTTAGAAGCCAGAACGCTCTACGTAAACAGCGGCAAAACGCGTCCATTCAAAACGCATTTTCAAAGATTGCACATATGTTTTTTTGCTGGTTTTGTGGGCTGTGAAATGGGAAAGCAACCAGCTTTTTGTGAACAGCTTTGCCAGAGCAGAGGAATATAAAGTCTCTTTTTTAAAAAACTAAAAACCAATTTTGTCAATTGTTATGCTTCTAGCTCAGGTATAAAAATCTACTACCTGGTACTGTTGCTCATTACCCCAATATCCAAGCAGTGAGAGATTCTGGGGGTCCCAGCACGTACCCAGGGTTCGATTTCCTTAGGATGACGGTCAATAGAGACTGCAATGTCTATGGGATATATGCCTTTATGTACACCTATAAACAACCTGAACATAGGATGGAGAGGCTCACAACATTAACACTGCAACATCTTGCTTCCCCATGAGGTTTCCAGAGAAAGTGTGCTCTGCAGCATGCCACTGATGCTGTAATAGCACATGAACTGATACAAAGCCATCCATACTTCATTCTGCTTTATTAGTTGCTCTGCACTGCTTCCCCAATGTCACCTCATTATCATCATTGTCCGACAAAAGCTGGACAAAACAACAACAACCAGAACATTTGATGTATAAAAGGCTGTGGGATTTCAGCAGGAAGGTAAGGGGCGTGCATTGATTGGAAACCAAGCAGTATGTCTGCCCCAAAATTTTTGCAGGTGCAAATAGTATTAAAAGCAGGATGCATATAACTACCCTGATACCATGAGCACAAAGAATCATGAATGCACAATAAAAAGAGATGTCTGGATGGGGCTGCCAACCTGCAGCAACTAGTAAAAGTTTCAGGTTCCACTCGCAGTTCTGTCTTTGCTGTGCCCCTAGAGGAATCTTACCTGCTCTGAGCTGTTAAGAGGTTCTGCGTCACCTTAAAATGACAGTTCTCAAATTCAGAAACCCTGCTGTGTGCAATGAAACACTCCCCTCCAAAGGCAAGTTAATTTTAAATTCTATTTGAATACCAAAAACGCTCTCCAAATCATATCTGATTTTCTCTCTCTCTCTCTCTCCAAACGCTCCCATCCATTACAGGAAGAAAGATGAGCATCCCGAAGAAATGAAAAAGACAGTGCCGCCGTCAACTGGCTTATGATGACTCACTTTCATGTTCAAAGAAGGCACTCTTGGAATGACGTTGTCCAAGGCTTAGGTTGCACACCCTGCAGAATGAGATGCTCATGAGGTGTTGAAAGAGTCCTCTGAGAGGTTGGATGGACTGTACCATGTCAAACCACAGCAGGACAGCAGAGGCTGGTCCATTAGGGAGAATGGGGCACTGCCCCACCCTCATTTTCCATCAGCCCCCACCCGCCCTGCCTTCTTACTTACAGCCAGTTCAGGGGCGGCTGGTGGCCCTGGCTATCATCTCCATCATCCTTAGCCTCAGTGGTGCCCTTGTAGACTTAGTTGGGGGGGTGGGGAGGATGGGCACAAAACAAGCATTAGTTGACTCTGCCTATCATTGGCTTTGGCACCAGCTGATCTGGCAAGGTGGACAGGGTGGCAGGAAACACCCATTTGCCTTTCGGGGGGGGGGGGGAATTGCAACATCAATTCTCCCAGAGAAGCAGCCTGGTTCCACATCCTTGACCAAAAACAGGAGCAGCAGAACCCCCATCTCAGTGATTCAATGCTCCAAGTAATATTCTTTTGCTACAGACTTGACCTCATCCCCAATAACATTTTGCTCCTGAAAAAGTAGGGGTACACTTAAGAACACCCCCAAAGTTATCTACACAAGCTCCAGGGGTGTCGTTAGGGACTGGTGTAGAAATCTTTGGCACTGGCCCCCGGAACCTCTTGCCTTCCCTCCCCCCCCCCTTTTTTTGGTAGCCATACATTTTTTGCTTACTGAGCAGTTGGGTAAAGTGAGATCTCAGCCACTGGGGAAGGGCTTTGGCTCAGTGGGAGAGCACCTGCTTTGCCTTGGTTCAATCCAAGACGAAAATTTGTGTTTCTATATAAAGGGCTGATTTAACAAGGGAACATAGGGAGGTGTCATTTGCACCCACATTGTTATATTAACATCTAAGTGCACCCCACAATAAGGGATGTCTTGCTGCCTCTTGGAATAAAACAGATAGCAAATCAGTATGCAGTGCTTTTTTTTCTTTAAAAAAATGTTTTGGGACACTCTAATTTTCCTACTCATATTGAAATACTGCCCCTCAATGAGGCCAAACTTAGATTCACAAAATGTTTAGGGGTATGCGTATCCCTGCATCCCCCCAGAAAAAACCCACTGTCAGTATGTATGTATGTATTGCATTTAGTGCATTTGCACCCTGCTCTTCAGCCAAAAATGCCCCCAGAGTGGCTTACATACAACCCATTAAAACAAAGTAGTCCCTGCCTGCAGGCTTACAATCTAAAACACACAAGACACAAGGAGAAACGGGACAGGAAGTGAAGAAGAAGAAAGCAAACTCATAAACCGTCTGTTGTTTCAACACACCAATTGAGCGCTATCAACTGGTTGCTCCCTTTGACAGCAGCGGTGAAAGCAAATATTTGCATCAAGCCAGCAATGGGAGACAAATTCTCATTAGTTCACATTTCACATCAAACCTGCCTAATCTGCACTACCCAATGCAATAAGCGAACCAAAACATGGCAAGCCTATGGAACTCACACTTCTTTGATTTTTGCAATGCAATTGTCCAACGAACCATATGCACATATTGGGCGGGTGGCGCATAAAATGCATATACCTGTCAAAATAATGTACAGCGGCTCCGTGTCTCCCTCCCCCAGGGTTACCCAATAGAGGAGCTGGGGCACACCTTTTGGGGTAGAGGTCTGACACCAGAGACTACATGTGCATAAACATTTGGTACTTTGGACGCGGGTGGTGCTGTGGGTTAAACCACAGAGCCTAGGACTTGCTGATCAGAAGGTTGGAAGTTCGAATCCCCGCGACGGGGTGAGCTCCCGTTGCTCAGTCCCTGCTCCTGCCAACCTAGCAGTTCAAAAGCACGTCAAAGTGCAAGTAGATAAATAGGTACCACTCTGGCGGGAAAGTAAACGGCTTTTCCGTGCGTTGCTCTGGTTCGCCAGAAGCGGCTTAGTCATGCTGGCCACATGACCCGGAAGCTGTACGCCAGCTCCCTCGGCCAATAAAGCGAGATGAGCGCCACAACTCCAGATTCGGCCACGACTGGACCTAATGGTCAGGGGTCCCTTCACCTTTACCTTACTTTGGAGATGGGTAGTCTGCACCGCCCAAGTATAACTATTATTATTTACGAAATGCCACTCTGCGCATGCCACAAAGCACTCTCTTCCCTATTTACTAGCCGCTCGCAAAAGGAGGAAAAAAACCCTGGAACTAAAACAAAAACCTGGGGAATTTTACACGCCGCTTTAGACACCCAGCCAGCCCACAAACCGGGGTTGCCCGGCGATCCTCCCCCTGTTCCGGAAGGCCGGGCTCCGGAGCCCAGGAGGCGCGGCTACGAAGCCCGCCCGCCGGCGCGCACGGAGGAGGAGCGGGAGGAGGAGGAGCGGCCGCCGCCGATGGAGGAGCAACAGCCCCGGCAGGAACGCGCCGCGTGCGAGCCGAGAGAAGCCCCCGAAGAGAGCGTGGCGCTCCGCTTCCAGCGCGGCTTCCTCGCCGGGAAGCGGCTGCGCGATTTGCCCTGGGAGGTGAGGAGGCGGAGCGAAGGACGCGCGGTCGGGGGCTGGCCTGGGCGTGCCTTGCGCGGAAGCAGAGGACTGGGCGAGGATGAGAACGGAGGAGTCTGGTTCTGGTCGGGGGGCGGCAGAGGGGCTTTGTTGGGGGACAGAGGAGCAGTCCTTTGCATTAGGAGAAAAGCCTTAGACAGAGCCTTTGGTCTGCTACTGGCTGAAATAAGAATTCGGCCGCGTGGACAGAAGTGGTTTTTTTAAAAAAAATAAAAAGAGCAACAGCTGAGAGCATGCACAAAGTAGTTTTCCCCGGCCACAGTTTAATCCCAGCCAGCATCTGCTGCTAAGAGCCTGACTGCTGGATCAAGCCAAAGGCCGCTTTAGTCCAGCATCCTATTCTCACAATGGCCTCCCAGAATCCTTGTATACAAGAGTACAGTGGTACCTCGGGTTAAGTACTTAATTCGTTCCGGAGGTCCGTACTTAACCTGAAATTGTTCTGAACCTGAAGCACCACTTTAGCTAATGGGGCCTCCTGCTGCTGCCGCGCCACCAGAGTACAATTTCTGTTCTCATCCTGAAGCAAAGTTCTTAACCTGAAGCATTATTTCTTGGTTAGCAGAGTCTGTAACCTGAAGCGTATGTAACCTGAAGCGTATGTGACCCGAGGTACCACTGTACACTCTCCAGCAACTGCTATTCAGATACATACTGTCCCTGATACGGGAAGTTGCAACCACCATGGCTAGTAGCCACCGAATTTAAATGCATCAGAGAGTAGATACAGTGGTACCTCGGGTTACAGACGCTTCAGGTTACAGACACTTCAGGTTACAGACTCCGCTAACCCAGAAATAGTACCTCGGGTTAAGAACTTTGCTTCAGGATGAGAACAGAAATCATGCAGGGGCAGCAGGAGGCCCCATTAGCTAAAGTGGTACCTCAGGTTAAGAACAGCTTCAGGTTAAAAACGGACCTCCCGAACGAATTAAGTTCTTAACCCGAGGTACAGCTGTACTTCTGTGGCCTTCCTGGTCCAGCATTCTATTCTTACAGTGGCCAAACAGATCCCCTGGTTGGGATGCCTGCAAGCAAATCTCTCCCCACCTGCAGTTGTCAACAAGACTCTCCATACTGCTATGTGGCTACTGGTGGTGGTGACCTTTGCATAGCTGTAGCTTTACACCTTCTTTGCAGATAGTTTCATTTTGCACTTTATTATAAATTGTCCACCTGGAACTTTAGTTGAAGGTCAGGCAGGAAATTTTTTGACAAATAGATAATGTGCCCGTTCGATCCTAGGTTAACCTGAGCGTGACCTGCCTTGGCGTCTCTCCCATTTTGTGAGATACACTACCTAATCCGCTCCTGGAAGAAAGGCTTAAAATGGAAAAGCTATTCTTAATCCATAATTGGACCGTCTACCCAGGGGTTTAATTAACCTGGACATGAACTCAACGGTGGTTGAGTTGCAGCCAAATCCAATGCAAAAACTTTTGAACTTCCAAGGGAAGGGCACGAAAATCTCAGGTCAAGCTCCAGCATCGCCAGTTAGTGGTGTGAAAGATTCCTGATCTGAACAGTTCCTGGAGAGCCACTGCCAGTCAGGGTAGACAGCACTGAGTTTGATGGACTAATGTATAAGGCAGTTAAGACCATTAGTCCATCAAGCTCAGTATTTGCCTACCCTGTGTGTCAGTGGCTCTCTGGGGACTCCTGGGTGAGAGTAGCTCAGTCAGTAGAGCACGAGACTCTTAATCTGGGGTCGTGGGTTTGAGCTCTGTGTTGGGCAAAAGATTCTTGCATTGCAGGGAGTTGGGCTAGATGACCCTCGTTGTCCCTTCCAACTTTACAATTCTATGATTCTGCAGACCAGGAACCTTTCCCAACCCTAACTAGAGATGCTGTGGCTTGGACCTGGGATCTTCTGCATGTAAAGCAGGTGCTCAGCCACTTATAGCTTGCTCAACTCATTCTCTGTGAAGCAGTACATGATACTCTCAGACCTTCCTTTAGGCTGGAATCCTAAACATAAGAACCTCAGAAGTGGGAGGCCGAGGGTTCTAGAGCTGCTCCTGCGTTTGACCCGTGTGGGGGAGGACTGCTGGTTTCTCCCACCTCTTTAGGATAACCAGGCAACAAACAAAAAAGACTTGTATTTAAGGCTGATGAATGTTCTGTAAGCATCCTTGTCGCTTTTGATCAATGATCGGGTCTAAAAATTCTTTCTTCGTTCAAGCGTTCATATGATTTGCAACAAGCTCATCTCAGCAATATTGAATGTGACAGCTTACCACTGTATTATTTTATCGCTAAATAAGCGGATATGAAAATAGCTGCCAAAAGTAGCTCCTGACCACCTTGAACACAACCACTACTTCTTTAAAACTCTCCAGGGGTCCCTGCACTGAGAAGCCTGGTGTTGGAGGGGGTATTGAATGCAATCCACCCACTTGCTCCATGCTGGAAATGTACAGCTGGCGCATCCCCAATAGTTAGCAGATTGACACTCCTTGAAGACTTCCAGTTAGGGAGGACCTACCATCTCTAAGGATAAGACCCATTGAACACAGTGGGCTTTCCTTCTAAGTAAAAATGCATGAGATTGTGCTGTTCAGGGCCATTAAAGGTAAAGGTAAAGGGACCCCTGACCATTAGGTCCAGTCGTGTCCGACTCTGGGGTTGCGGTGCTCATCTCGCTTTATTGGCCGAGGGAGCCGGCATACAGCTTCCGGGTCATGTGGCCAGCATGACTAAGCTGCTTCTGGCGAACCAGAGCAGCGCACAGAAACGCCATTTACCTTCCCACCGGAGCGGTACCTATTTATCTACTTGCACTTTGACGTGCTTTTGAACTGCTAGGTTGGCAGGAGCAGGGACCGAGCAACGGGAGCTCACCCCGTTGCAGGGATTTGAACCGCCGACCTTCTGATCGGCAAGTCCTAGGCTCTGTGGTTTAACCCACAGCACCACCCGCGTCCCGTTCATGGCCATTACTTGGTACTTAAAAAGACTTGAGCCACAGGCCCGTGACACAGATTTGCATCCTAGGAACTGAGGTAGTTGCCATTGGTCCATCTAGCTCAATATTGTCTGCGCTTACTGGCAGAGGCTCTCCAGGAGTTCAGGCAAGGAGTCTCTACCAGCCAAACTGCTGCAGATTGAACCTGCAATCTCACTCTTTTAAAAAGAAAAAACCTTAACCAACAAAATGCAGTGTTGCATCGGCTGATAAATTCCACTAGCCCCTTATGCCTGCACGGAGCTCTGCATTTCTTGTGTGGTATGCTAGTAGCAGAGTGTGTTGCTTTAATTTAGTTTTTTAATAAAGTTGTTTCTCCCCTCAAAGTAAAATTAAATATGGGCGATTTCTTCTTTCCCAGAAAGTTCTTTGCCTGATGCTTTCATTCATCTGTTAACAGCATTTGGTAATTTAAAGCAGCAGCAACAACAAAAGAGTTTAATTTCAGCAACTGAAAGCACCAGAGAATATTTCCAGCGTAGATCAGAAAAGCAGCATTGCAGCAACTGCTGTTACAAATGCACACAATAAATAGAATTAAATATCACTCTGCTAATTGCTACATTTGCCTTTCCTGTCGCGTTCCATTATTTCCTAGCTGCTTTGGGTAGCAAGAGGCCATAGCTCGGTGGCAGAGCTTCTGCTTTGCATGCAGAAGGTCCCAGGTTCAATCCCAGGTAGGGCTGAGAACGATTCCCTGCCTGAAACCCTGGAGGGCCGCTGCCAGTCAGTGTAAGATGGACCAATGGTCTGACTCATTATAAGGCAACATCCTATGTTCCATGAAGCAACTTCCAAACATTCCAAGCAGTGTAACCAAGAAGTGGTATCTAAGTGTTGGGATACTGCCAGGGAGACAAAGTCCATCATGGCCCCACGTCGCCTCCGGTGCGTCCATCGATCTCCCGTAGACACGCAGTATCAGCAATTAGCGACATGAGCTCCAGAAATAGCTTCCCACATTCTGGAACTGATGCACGCTCTGTTAGCAGATAATGCACAGCCAAAGTCGCACTCAGGAGAGCATTATTTACAAGTTTTATTCAGCGTTGATCAGAACAAAGAAAAACATGACCGCCTGCTTCAGCGTTCAGGCACCGAGAGAGAAACGAAAGCAACAGAAAACATAAATATCCTGTGAACAGGAAATACGCAGACTCTGACTCACAAAGCCTGCTCCCTTTTAAGGTGGAACGGAAATATCCTAACACTAAGACAGAGCTATGGGGGCTTTGCAGATGGAAGTGGAGCAGATTCCAGTGGCTAGATTCACCGTATGCAAAAGGCAGCATTAGCCCAGGGGTAACACGCACACACACACTTGCAGAGGGACAGTTCTCAAAAGTTGTCCAACTGTGTCCATAACTTATACAAAGTCTTCACCCACTTTCTAGTCTGCAAAAGCTTACGCCATAATAAAATTCATAGTTGGGGTGCCACAATACCTTTTTGCTGCTCCCTCCTCACACACCTTACCTGATCATTTATGTTTCTTGTGATCTAGGATCTTGAACAGATACTAAAGAATTCAGAAGACTCCTCGCCACTGCTGACTGTTTTACAGAAGGTAAACTTCTATGGATAACTGAATATACTTCATGCTCCATATGCAATTAGATACTGTGAAGAAACTGAGGTGGTGGGGCAGCTACGGGTGAATCTGGCCCCTCACAGACAATCTACCACTTTTTCTAGTGATGAGTTTTTCTCTTTGGGTTTTGTTTCGGGGGCTTTGGGAGGAGCGGTGACCAGTTTCATATTGCAAGCAACAGTGCATCTTCACACTGATCTACATCTTCAGAAAAAGGCATGCGGCAGAGCCTTTCAAAGACTGTGCCACCAGAAAACAGGTGGGGAATTTAACGTTTGAGGGTTTTTCTCTGTAAAACAACATGGGAAATAAGCATGTTGGGTGGAAAAGGGGGTCCAAAATTATCATTTTTCTGAAACGCTTCCTTTCAGTGGGCAGTGAATCCATGCTGTGAGGCAGCAGTCAGTCACCCAAACTCCCACCTATTATAATAGTGTAGGTTGGTGGGGGAGGGGGGGCTGCCTGGATTATATCCATGGGTCTGTTCCGGGCCTGTTATCCTGCATCTATGAGGTTTAGACTCTAATAGAAGAAGAAGCTGAACTGGTTGGATAATATAATAGCGTTAGCTGGCCAGTTAAATCCTGCCAGTTATATGTCCAAAGAGGTTTCCCTGTTGCTTTAAATTACAATGATTACATCATCACTTTTCCAACATGTTTTGTAACATATAGTTGTGTGTTTTACTTTGGCCCGAGGGTAGCCAACTCCTCTACGACTCCCATCACCCCTGACCATTAGCTATCTGCGGCTGATAGGAGTTGGAGCCAACAACATCAGGAGAGGCAGCGGGTTGGCTACCCCTACTTTGGCCTGGGACACACACAGTTATTTCAGTGTGTTGCATTTATGGCTTTTGTGTTTATTTGTTTCAGACTGTTTTTCACCCGCTGTGCTTGAAGTACCCTCTCTCAGTGAAGTATAGAAGATGCTTCTTATCAGAGCTTATTAAGAAGGTAAAAATATGATAGTAATATGGCTTATACCATTGAAGTTCTGATAGTTCAGTCCTTCATGGTATCATCACCTGGAGATTAAACCACTCTAAGGCACTCTTCGTGGGTCTGCCCCTTGAAGACAGTACAGAAACTTCAGCTGGTTTTAAATGCAGCTGCCGGACTGCTGATTGGAACTAGTTGATCCTATATTTTTTATTTTATTTGCAGAATTTTATACCCACTCTTCAGCCAAAAACGCTTCCTGCTTGTCAGTTTCCCATAGGCACCCAGTTGGCCGGTGTGAGGGCAAGATGCTGGACTATTTGGGTTATGTGACTTGTAGGAAAGCCCTATATGGCCTAGGACCCTCGTACCTACGGGACTGCCTCTCCTGGTATGTCCCACAGAGGAACTTACGGTCTTCAAACAAAAATATATTGAAAGTTCCAGGCCACAGAGAGGTTAGGCCTGCAAGACAGAGCTGTTCCACCAGGCCTTTGGCCAGGGCACAGCCTGACTCCCTCCTTTGGCAATCTCCACAGAACTCTAGCCCAGTGGTTGCCATCAGTTTGATTTGAATTAATTTTATAATGAAATGATTTTGGAATGTTGTATTATTTTATTGTTGTTAGCCACCCTGAGCCCGGCTTCGGCTGGGGAGGGCGGGATATAAATAAAATGTATTAATAATAATAATAATAATAATAATAATAATAATATTGGAAAGAACCCTCACTCTGGGGGTGGGAGGCTTGGAACCTCCCCAAAACAGCTCAGTGAGGACTGAGCATGCTCAGTATGCATGGAATGCTGGTGCCCAGATGTGGGAGGGAGGATGGAACGGAACAGCTGGAAACCAGAACGGCTGCACTCTGCAATTGCAACATGAACCCACGACTGTGGTTGCTGCCTGTGTGATATTCAAAGATCACTGGACTTCTGGTTCTTTCTTTTTTCCATGCAGCATGAGTCTATGGGTGCTGAACCTCTGGAACAGCTGTATGAAGCGATTGGGAATGTCTTAAACACTGAAGAAACCACACAGTGTTATAAAAGCTATTTACTGGTAAATAAGAATGTCTTTATTCTGTGTGTACTGTGGGTGACCTTTCTTTATGGATTTGCATTGATATCCCTCTTTTCCTCCAAAGTGCTCTGGGTGAAATATGTGGTTCCTCCCCCATTTTGTGCTCACAACAACCCTGCGAGGTTGGTTAGGGTGAGAGACAGCAATTGGCCCAAGATCAACCAGTGAGAAGAAGAAGAAGAAGAGTTTGGATTTGATATCCCGCCTTTCACTCCCCTTCAGGAGTCTCAAAGCGGCTAACATTCTCCTTTCCCTTCCTCCCCCACAACAAACACTCTGTGAGGTGAGTGGGGCTGAGAGACTTCAGAGAAGTGTGACTGGCCCAAGGTCACCCAGCAGCTGCATGTGGAGGAGCGGAGACGCGAACCCGGTTCCCCAGATTACGAGACTATTGCTCTTAACCACTACACCACACTGGCTCTGTGATGAGCTGCATGACTGAGTGGGGATTTGAAACCAGGACTGCCAGATTTTAGCCAGTGGAGTAGTGGCAAAGTCAGAGGTGCGGGGTTTCTTCATGATAGTAACAGTCAACCCCCCTTCTAAGATTATGCAACCTTTATAAGACTATTGCATAATTATACAATAAGAATAATTGGGGATGAATTGCAACCATCAGGGCAGAACTCTATATGTGTTAGATCTACTGTTTTCTGTGCATTTTACATGGGGAAATGATTTGGAGTGCTCAGGTATTTAAGTGTTTTCTTAAAATATTATGGTGTATTGCTCTCTTTTCTTTTTTGGTAGCCCTCTGGAGATGCCATTACACTTTGTGAGAGCGTAGCAATTATTTCACGGGGAACCACAGGCCTTGTCACGTGGGATGCTGGTCTTTTCCTGGCTGAATGGGCGCTGGAGAATTCTGCAGTTTTTTGTAACAGGTAGCTATTTCTTGTTGTGCTCGGTCATAGGCAGACCCCAGTGCTGGTCAGGGCTTAGCCTTGGGATCCCTGCAGAGGTTTGTGAGGAGCTATTGGAAGGCAAACCAGACGGCAGTTTAGTTTTGCCGTCGGTGGTATTGACCTTTTTTTTCCACGGTGGTATTGACATTCTGAGTCACTGTTGTTTCTAATGCTGTTTTACTATATCTTGTCAACCACCTTGGAACTGATAAGGAAAGGTGGTGTGTGCATGTCTAGATAGATTGATATATTAATAAATTTATGATTAGACTTAAATAAATAGTATTTGGCGGTATATTTATTTATTTTTATTTAACAGGATTTATATACCAATTAAAATGTCAAAGCCTTTAAGGAGTTTTCTTAGGCCAGTCATTTTCTCTTTTTTTTGCAAGTGAATTTTTATTGTTTTCCTTACATATTCTTTTCCAACAAATTGTAATAGCACCATACATTCCCTTTGACTCTGCCGAGTCACGACCCCCCTTCCTCCCCACAACTGGTATATTTATCCTCTTTCCATCACACACATCATTCTCATATTAGTACTATTAAACATTGGAGGTATTATGTCAATCCTGCTAGTGTCTTGACCTCTTTACAATTCTTCTTTAAATATTCAATAAATTTACTCCAGTTATTTTGGTATCTTTGATCTCCCTGGTCCCGGATCCTCCCTGACAGTTTGGCAAGTTCTGCATATTCTGTCAACTTCGCCTGCCACTCCTGTATAGTTGGTATATCTTGTACTTTCCATCTTTGGGCCAGAAGGGTCCTCGCGGCAGCTGTAGCATACATGAACAAATTTTGATCTTCTATTTTAATTTCTGTTCCTATTAAGCCTAAAGACACGCTTCCGGTCTTTTGGGGAAAGTATATCTAAATATTTTTTTGAGTTCATTATAAATTGATTCCCAAATTTTTTTTACCTTATCGCAGGTCCACCACATATGGAAATAGTCCCCATCTGCCTTTTTGCATTTCCAGCACTTTCTTTCTTTTTTCCTATACATTTTAGCTAATTTTACTGGCGTCAAATGCCATCTATACATCATTTTTAGCAATAGGCCAGTCATTTTCTCAGCCTAACCTACCTCACAGGGTCACTGTGAGGATAAAATCGGGAGAAAGAGAACCACCTTGAGCTCCTTAGAGGAAAGGTGGGATATAAATGTAATAAATACCTAAAATATAAAATATCCATTAAAATGGCTGATGAAATTGGACTTCAAAAAGAAGCTAGCCTAACTTTTTTTTTCAAAATCAAAGCATTTTTAAAAATGTATGTTATTAGATAAAATTACATTTTAAATCCACGTAAAAATGTACATGTCTGGATAGGCGTGGTCAACCAAAAAAAAGGGTAATATTCAATGCAGTTGTTCTTTCAGTGCAAGGACTTTTGGCTGTGCAACAGGGCTTTCTCTCCCTCCCTCATCACCCGCTTCTCAAGTCCCCTAACCCCCCCCCCAAAGCAAATTCAGGGAAGGTGAAGGGGAAAACAGGGAGAGAAAAAGAGTGGAGTTCTGTTGTGCACACAAAAGTCCTTGCATAAGTGCATTGGATACGTCCCAAGGTTTATATATATATATAAAATGTATATATGTGTGTGTGTGTGTGTTGTATATTTTGCTCCAAAGATGCTTGAAACCCAAAAATGATTTGAAAATGTGGGATCTGAATGTATGGAAAACCTGCTTTCAGCTTAGCTACCTCCCTGAAACCTTTAGCTTCCTACTTTTATTGCTCATATCCTCGTCATCTTTAACATGATTTGCTGCTGTTCTCTTTTTTAGGAGTGTGTTGGAACTAGGAAGTGGAACCGGACTGACAGGCATTGCAATTTCCAAAGCTTGCCGTCCCAGGACGTACACGTTCAGCGATCACCACGAGTGTGTTCTTCAACAGCTGTCGGAGAATATCCGCTTGAACGGCCTGTTTCTGCCGCCTGGAACTCGCGGTCATGGCGTGGCAAAACAAGAGACCTGTGAGGCTGAGCTTCCTAGAATCCAGGGCCCTGAAATAACCGTAGCAGAGCTTGACTGGAACCTAGTTACAAAAGAACGGCTGGCAGAACTTCAGAGCCCTGACGTCATCATTGCTGCAGGTACAGTACGCTGAATGCAAGTGTTATGTTTAGACCAGGCATAGGCAAACTTGGCCCTCCAGATGTTTTGGGACTACAACTCCCATCACCCCTGACCACTGGTCCTGTTAGCTAGGGATGATGGGAGTTGTAGTCCCAAAACATCTGGAGGGCCGAGTTTGCCTATGCCTGGTTTAGACTACTGTAATGTGCTGTGGGTGGGGCTTCCCTTATGACTAGTCTGGAGGCTGTAGCTGGTGCAAAATGCCACTGCCCTTATCGGGTGCAAATATTGCCAGTCCTCAGGGATCTGCATTGGCTGCCCATTAACCCCTGGATCTTGTTTTTTACATTGAGAGTCCTGAAGATCTCTGGAGCATATTACCTCAAAGATTGTATTCACGATCCATTATTATATGTGGAACTCTGCTGTTTTTGCCACAGCTTAATAGTTATCGCCTTGCGGTAAAGCAGAGGTGGGCTTTTTTACAAGCGGCTCCAGTGTGGTGCCTTCAGCAAGATCAGGCAGTTAATTTTTTAATTCCCATACTATTTATATAATCAACAACATAGTGCTTAGTTTCCAAACACGTAGATCATCTCAGTTGCCCTCCTCCACACACATTGTCAATATCTTTCTTAAAAATGGTGGTGCCCAGAACTGGACTCCAGGGTCTGACCACTTGGGGTTTCAGACAGCAGCATCCTCTGATGTCACTATGACACCAGGAGACTGACAGGTGGATGACCCTGCCCACCTCTCAAAGTTGGGGGGCCCAGGGGTTGAGGAGATAAAAATTTAGCCTGCCAGCCAATAAAGACTCTATCCAATAGCTTTCTCCCAGATTTTCCCCCATGTACTTTCTGCTTTCTTCATTTTCTTTGTGTGTCTGTTTTTGGAATGCACCTTTTCCAAGCAGATGTGGTATATGATCCGGAGCTGACACAGTCCCTTATTGGCATTCTGCAAAAGCTTTCCAGCTGCAACGGTGATGGGGAGGCCCCAGAAGTCTACATCGCCTGCACAATTCGAAACCCAGATACTTACTGCCGGTTTCAAACAGAGCTTGGTAGGTGTCCTTACTCTCAGAATCTTGAACCAGCTATAGATCCCAGATCTAGCTATAGATCTAGGTTCTGCAGATAAATTGGGATGAGGAACATTTTGGCAGCCTTGCTGAGTGTAACCCCTTTTCTTCCTGTCTCTCATTCCAGGTAAAGTTGGGATCAGATGGCAAGTTGTCCCCAGCCCTCAGAAGAATCTTTTCTCTTATGACCAACATGCTAATATAACAATTCTAAGATTGCGTGTTTAAATTTCTGTTTTCTCTAAAACACTCATTTTATCATTAATCCATCAAATTTTATTATGCCATCACAGACCTGTTAAATATCTGCATACAGTTTCTACTAAAACTGTTTGATATCTCATACTAACTTTTGAATTTTCTTTCAAACTTTAATAAAATCTGTTGGGGAAGGAAAAAGCAAATTCTACCAGAATATGAGTTAAAACAATGTGGTCCATTTTATAAAAGATGAAGAAGAGGAGAAGAACTCAAACAACACTTTTGAACTCACAAAAGTGGTTTACTAAGCTTTGCAACAGAGCGAAAAATCCAGCAACTGTGACTGTACATAACCGAGGTGCTGTTTGTAAGGTGAAAAAAAGCAGCCTGCTGGAATAATTGTTTAACGGCAAGTGAAGGATGTCAACTGGACTCTAAATAAGAAATGTTGCAGCAATGGAAGGAAATGATGATGATGATCATATGTTTGAAACAGGAGCGGGAAACCTGATTTTAAGAAATTGTATTAAATAAATTTGGTTTAATTTGTAACAATTTGGAAAATTAATAAAAATGATTTTTTAAAAAAATCCAACAACTGTTTCCGTGCAAAGGTCAAAGTTAAATTTATTGCTCTGCCGACCACCAACATGCGCCCCCAGAAGGCAATGTGGCCCTCACCTGAATAAAGGTTCCTTTTTCCTAATGTAGGCCTTCTCCCCAGTTGCTACCACCTTACCCTCAGCATCCGGATCACCCAGAGGAGTTACTCCCAGCAGGTGAGTGTCTGATATTATTGCAGCCTTTGCATCCTGTCACATTGACCACCACGGAGGTTCCTCAATGAGAAGTTGTAAAAGTGCCAGGAAAGAAAGAAGGAAGGAAGGAACGCCAAAATCATGCTACCAATTACTGTAGCTACTTATTAAAGTTATGTTTCAGGGATGCTAGCTAATTAGTAAAATAATTAAGACAATAAAACAGCATGACAAAATAGGCTTCACACAAGAGTTCCATATCCTCCAAAGGCACATGGGAAGCTGTGTTGCACTGCTTCATAGAATCATATAATTGGAAGGGATCCTGAGGGTCATCTAGTCCAACCCCCTGCAATGCAGGAATCTCAACTAAAGCATCCTAGACAGATGGCCATCCAACCTCTGCTTAAAAACCTCCAAGGAAGGAGAGTCCACCACCTCTTGAGGGAGTCCGCTCCACTGTTGAACAGCTCTTACTGTCAGAAAGTTCTTCCTGATGTTTAGTCGGATTCTCCTTTCTTGTAACTTGAAGCCATTGGTTTGAATCCTAGCCTCTGGAGCAGGCTAGTTTCTACACACATGTCTCTCTCTATCCTCCATCCAGGCATGCAAGAGGCACCATCAGAATTCAAGGATACGTTCCAGCCAGGCTAAAATACTCAAGGAGGGTGTGAAGTAGGGGTATGATCTGGGGACAGGGAGAGGGCATGGCTTGGGGAGAGTCTGAAGGGCCAGACAGAGCTGGAGGGCCACATTTGGCCCCAGGGTTCTGAGATGCTCCACCCCTGTCTTCTTGCTCAAGGTGCTTTGGTTCTCCTCAGCAGTTTCAGGAGGGCCTCCTTGACATCGTTGTTCCTCAGACTGTAGATGATGGGATTCAGCATGGGGTTGATGACCGAGTAGAAGAGAGAGATCAGCTTGTCCTTCTCAGCTGAGTAGCTGGCCTTGGGCCTCATGTACATGAACATCCCACTCCCGTAGTAGATGGTCACCACGGTGATGTGAGCCGAGCATGTGGAGAAGGCCTTCCGCTTCCCATCCGTGGAGGAGATTTGGAGGATGGCAAAGATGATGCGGACATAGGACAGCAGGATTAAGACAAACGGCATGAGCAAGGTGAACGTGCTCCCTGCCACCATCATGGTCTCATTGAGGGATGTGTCGTCGCTGGGACAAGCCAGCTGGAGGAGGACAGGAACTTCACAGAACAGGTGGTCAATGACGGAATTGCACAGAGACTGCTTCATGGTCAAGGAAGGGACCACGGACATGAGGAAGCTGCCAAGCCAGGCCCCGATGGCCAGAGCGAGGCAGGTGCCCTTATTCATTGCCATCGTGTAATGCAGAGGGTTGCAGATGGCAACGTACCGGTCGAATGCCATCACCAGGAGGAGGAGGCACTCGGCTGCCCCCAGGAAGAGCGTGATGTACACTTGCGCAGCGCACAGCTGGTACGAGATGGTCTTCCTGGCCACTAAGAAGTTGGCCAGCATCTTGGGGACCACTGCAGATGTGTAGCAGATGTTCAAGAAGGCCAGGTTGCTGAGGAAGAAGTACATTGGAGTGTGGAGGCGAGAATCCAAACAAGTCAAAGTCAATATGGAGATGTTTCCAAAGAGGGTCACTGTGTACATCACGGACACAAGCACAAAAAGGAAGATCTCCAGTTGGGGGTGGCCCAGAAATCCAAGGAGGATGAACTCGGTGAAAATAGTGAGGTTCCTACTTTCCATTATGGTCACAAGTACCTACCTTAAAAAGCAAGAAGGGAGAAGTCACATTTCCCATAGGATCAAGCTTAGATATTCCAGAAGAACATAAGAAGCTGCTTCGTTGGACCTATCATTGCTCCATCTAGCTCAGCATCGTCTACACTGACTGGCAGCTGATACCCTGGTTCAATCCTTGGCACCTCCAAGTAAGTCTGGGAGAGATCCCCGTGCCTGAAACCCTGAAGAAATGCTGCCAGTCAGGAAAGACAATACTAGGTGGACCAATAGCCTGATTCAGTATAAATCAGCTTCCTATGTTCAATGTTTTACTCAGTCCACTACCTGGAAAAATTCTGGAAGACCCCGTACTTCTTCATCATTACCACTCCAGTCAAACTAGCTGCCTCTTGGAGGTGCTTTTTTATTTATTTAAAAATTGTGCACACTTTTCTGTAACATTCACACATCAGACGCTTCCTACGCCTGAAGTGTGCCGGCTGGTCATTCGAAGAGCGACTGTTTTAAGAATTGGTGTTGAGTTTGATTTTCCCACCTGTTCGTCCCTCCCTGTTTTTATCCCTTGTGTGACTGTAGTAAGCTTGCAAGCCGAGACTGTCTTGTCTGAATTGACTGTCTGGAAGCCAATCTGGAAGCCTTTTTGGCTGAGGAACGGGATACAAATGCTCTAAACAAATAATAATTTTTAGCTTGACCTTTGAGAGCAGAAGTGAGTGTGCATCTGTACTCAGGGTGTACACTAAAGGAATCTCGTAATGGTGCTGATGGGTGTGAAATGATCAGTTAAGGCTGCAACCCAAACAACACCCTAAGCCAGGGAGATAAAAACAAAGTCAGTGGCTGAAGAAGACTGCAAAGATATTTCACCACCGTAAACAAAAGAAAAGATACACCCAGATAGGAGCTAAGTGCTGGTGTGTTTTTTCCAGCAAATGGAAATTGTGAAACAGCCACAATTCCACAGATCTGGACCACCCATCTTTTTGCTGGCATTTTTGCCAGCACACACACACACACACACACAGAGAGAGAGAGAGAGAGAGAGAGAGAGAGAGAGAGAGAGAGAGCTATATGCAGCTAAGATAACATTTCATTTGATCGTAAGTTATTTGGTTCACAGCACGCAGTACCCCTGAGCTGAAATATAAACCCTTTGGGCATGAAAGTTTTCAGATGTTGTTACGATGACATCGGCACACATTTGTTGGGTTCAGGGATAAAAGAATACCAGCATTGGAAAGATTTGCAAGCAGGAATAAATATATTTACTTGGTCCCCATTTACTTGGTCCCCAAGTATATTTACTTGGTCTCTGTATCTCTAGTATTGGGAATAGGTGGGCTCCTGGCAAGGTAGGATCAGTTGTAAATTGTTGGTACATAATGTGATATCTGGCATATAGAGAACAAAATTAAACTGTCTTCTCTTGTTTCCCGATCATCCATCTGCTTAGACAATGGAACGGTAGTGTTATAGAGCACCTGTAATTCCCTCCTGAAACACATTTTCTTAAAGGCAGTGGTTTTCAAACAGCAAATTTTGGGGTACACTGGAAGCTAATTAATGGTTCTTCACAATCTGAAGATTAGTAGTGGTGAAATAGCACCCCTGAAGATGGCTTGTTCACGGCTAGCTGTCTTAGCTTCTAACCCACATTTGCAAATCCACAACCAACCCTCTTCCGAAACCACATCTGTGAAGGAATGCCTGAGCTGAGCAGCTGAGCAGATAGAAGGTACATGGGATGCTGCCTTATAATTAGTGGTCCATCAGGTCTGTACTGTCCACACTGACTGGCAATGTCTCTCCAGAATTTCATGCTGGAAACATTCCAAGCTCTACCTGGAGATGCTGGGGGTTGAACTTGAGACTTTTGCATGCAAGGCAGATGCTCTTATCTCTGAGCTACGGCTCTTCCCATGTAGATGCACTGTAGATTCCCAGGCAAGTGTTAATTTCTGAGTGACTTGAAGCACTTTTGAACCAGTTGGTGAATTTCTAGCAAAAAGGAAAAAAATAGGAAGCTCCTACAAGCATAATATTTGCCCTCTCCAGCCCTTAAACATATTCTCCAGGGTCCTCTGAATTGTGCAGAGGTTCCTTAGCAGGATTTCGGGGGTTCATTGACAACATCAACAGGACAAAAGGGTCCCTGAAGGAAGACATTTTTCTTAAACCATTGCTCTCAGATAAATACACCCAAACAATCATTATTTCACAAATAAAACTTTGAACTAGGAATACATTCTGACCAACCAACAACGATAAAGAACACTTACATACATGTTTGATGCCTTTAATTCTCTTTTTGTTTCCTTCTCCATCATCTCTTGGTAACCGAACAAGGTGACTGAACTCAAGATGTCCGTTCCAAATATTCAGCAGTGCCTTCCTTATGCAGAACGCTTTTCATGGAAGCCTCATTTACCTCTGCATGACAATTTGGTATATTTTTGGATTTGGGGTGGGGGAGTTAAAGGTACATCTCATGGAAGGGAACTATAGAAATCCAAAATCCCTCAACATTGCATCACTCACT